CCGCTAAAGAGGTAGTCACGTCAACCGGTTCATGTTGCATTGTTCCAATTTAACATTTTTTTTTCTAGTCATATGTGTATGTATGCTACTTTTTAAACTGTCAATGAGGTATTACAATTGCTTATATTTGTATTTACTCGAGAAGGTTTATGATTTTAATATTTTGTTATTGCTCTCAATTTACAAAACAATACATAAGTAATAAACGTCCGCATTCGTTGTGAAATAACCAGACCAAATACTTTTTAATTTAAACATTTTTAACAATATAATTACTATGTTTTTTGTTTGGTCTTTAACGGCGATAACATTATTGTTATTAAATTGCAAATATTTAACATTTTCGTTTGAATCACACCAACATTTATGTTAATAATACCTTAAATATAATATACTTATGAAGTTTCAATGTACATTCTCTATTATAATGTATTTTATTACTTTGATCCAATTAGTTATGGGTCTTCTTAAAATTGCTTAGATGGCATTGACTATAGTCTGTAATGTTTGTCATGTCGTAAGTAATTTTCATTATTATTTAAATTAATTCATAATTGTATATATACAGTATTAGCCTTACCATTTAATTTCAAAATCTGAAAAAATCCATTGAGATAATGTAGTACCTATAAGCAGTTGATGTAACATATTCGTATAAAAAATTCTTCTTTAAATATATACCTACTCTTTGTTTTTTCAGAATTTATGATAACAATAACCATGAATTAAATTAATCAAATTATCTGTTATAATCCATCTCAGAAGTCGGAACTAGTGTGATTTATCATACATTTATCTTTATTTATTATATATTTGTAATGATTTTGCTGCTAATATTACTATAATAGGTATTATAATACTATTATAGTATCTATGATATAATATATCGAGGACCGTGTAAGATTAGGTTACTATAGACATTACTCTGCAACCCGCGCGTCAATTTCACATAACCCGCTAAAAAATTACGAATACGAAATACAAAACAAAATTATAAGGTAAAAATCAATTTATTCCCGTGATATGAGGTCTCATATTAAATATTTTGAAATAAAGTTACAACTATTACGGTATTGAAGTAAATTTATCAACACATTTTCGATTTGAAACAATCGCTTTGAATCGTCAACATTTTAATTTTCGACTGTTAAATTTGTTTAAACTATTTTGACACTACAATACGACTTTAATAATAAATTTCAGGATTTCAAAAAATGTTCACAATATTTTCAATTACTCTCCAATCCATTTATTAATAATAATATTATTGATGTTTACCTTAAATGGAAATGAATTTACAAGTTTACATAATAATAAATAATAATAGATTTACAGTCACTAGATGTCCTTAAAAACTCGTTCAAACTATCGCAATTAATTATTATTATTTTTTAATTCGTCCATCATTTTCAAAAATCAGAAATATATTTACAAAGTAAGTACAGTATGTTTGAATTTTCATTCGCTTGTGAATAGGCCTTTTCTCATTATATACAAATTACGCTTAACAATGATACTCTCCACCATATATCCATAGTGGGCACATGACATGTAAACATTTTAAAAATAATAAACAATTTAAAAAAAAAATTTTTTTCAAGCATTTTACCAAACAGTTGTTATCTCCACAATTTTATGTAACGTAATTTTCTCTATTTTATCTTACACTGTATATTCTTAAATGTATTATTTATTGTTTACATTTTTTTCGTATAAGGCTATCAAATTTTTATATTTTAACAAAAACCTTTTTAATTTTTGAACGTGATCTGAGAGTTTAACAAGGTTTGCCTATACCATTGAAGAGTTAGTTAGACCGTTCGTTTCGTTTTATCGGCCTGGCGGGCGTGCACCGTTAATCTGGTTTCGCCATGCGGCGGTAGCCGTGTGTACAATTCTCATTATGCATACAACATATGTACAACTACCGGCACGACTGGCAGAATAAAACAGCTAACCGCCGTCATGCCGTCGGCACAAATAACGGCATGTCGTAGTCGTTTTAATATCCGCGTGCGGTTAACGGAAACGCAACAGGTTACAGGTCTGAGGTGATGGTGTAAAGTTGACAATTTTCCGTCTGTATAATAATATGTTGTATATGGCCATATATGAGTACACGGCGAGTTCGATATAATATTATTATGTCAATAAAACGGCTTAACAGTTCTCGACGGGACATAATATCGAAATGGTATTTTTTCTCTCCAATTTAATCAACGCGTCACCAAAGACGATTAAGAAACATATAAGTTAATCAAAATTACACGTTATATCGTTTTTATTTGCACAAATGACAATTGATCATTAACTCACAAGGTCCCGTTTTTCTTTTAGGTACTTCTCAGTAACAAAAATAAATGCGATTAACTTTGAAAATGGTTTGAAGATTATACTGTTTTACTGTTTGTTGTGTGACAATCGATATTTAATCTACATGTTGTATATTATTTCCCCTGGTTTCTACCTACACGCAAGTCGCGATTAAACAATTTAACAAACTCTTTTCGATATTGGTTTTGAATTCGTGATCCGTCGCTTTCTAATCGTTTCTCCAGCGTATATAACAAAATAATTAGACAACTGTGATTTCACTCGACGTTGTCTAGGCGCCGCTTCCTGTCCAACAGCAGAAGCGTTTTCACGATTTCTCGGTTTTCTAAACCACGATTGTGCCCACACTTTTATGGTTTTATGCAATCGGTTATATTTGTTATAATTTTTCTCCCAGCTCATTTCTAATGACATTTTATGCTTAGCCGACAATTCCCTCTTTCGTTATAATATTGTTACGTTAATTTTCTACCGAATCACCAGAAGTCTATAGTCTTCTTTCCCGTACATTTTTAGTGAATAATATATATACGAGTAAAATGTAATATATGTAAAATCTTGAACTTGTGAATCGGAGAAATACTCCAATATTGCGGCACGTATAGTTGTTGCCATAGAGCGCCAAATCGTTTGTATAGTAAAACCATTTTTTGACTAGGTTCGTTTAAAAGACGCCCGTCATTGTTCGATTATTATAATAACCTCACGACGACGCTAATAAGATAATGTACTCCGCCGGACGGAAGTTCCAGCACTGAAGTTCGGTCCATCCCATACTGCGGCGGTGGCGTTGTACGGTCTTGAACCCATGTAGAATCTTCGCGGTGTAACCGCCCGGATGTCTATGACCGGGCGCGTGGCATCGGTGGCGGACAAAGACACCGACCGACCGGTTCATCGGGATGTCATCCTCCTCGCCCCGGCCAAAGCAGCGTCGTTCACAGTTCGCTGGCTCATAGTTTACCGAGAGGTGAACGACTTCTGGACCAAGACCAATATTATGTGTTCTCCCACAGGGGCCACCGCGTGCACGCGCCGCCGCTGGCTTCGTTCATATACATATAATAATAACATACAATATGTATGTATATATTAGCGTCGTCTATGAGAGAGAGAAAAAGAGGAATGCGTGATGAGACTTGGCATGCGAACAGTAAAATATAAATGTGTATTAAAAAAAAAAAAAAAAAACCGGAACCGAGGATTGTGTGTACAGCGGAATAACGTACTTATCTTTCGTCGTCCATTTCTATTTAGAGCGCACGTTCGATTAAGTTTTTGCGAGGAAAAATAACGCCTACAAATTTGTTCGGATTATAAAACAACGGGATGAAATGTCATATTGTACATGCACATCACACTTTCTTTTAACGCTTGTATGTGTGCAAGACTCGCGACTTGTCACTTACTTTGTTTCATTGTTTGCAAAAGCGTGTACGTTCTCAATCTATAGTCTAAAGATTTTTGCATACTTACTAAAATAACCGATAAATTGTTCGATTTCAGCAAAGGTACAGCAATCAGACCAATCCAATAGTATTACTTTATATTATTATTATTAACGATATGCCAAAGATTAGTAAACTTGTGTGTAACATTACGTAGTAATGTAGGTATGAATGTATGATAATATGACTGTTGGAATTTAAATAATTTTCTATTGTTGATATATAATTTGATTATTTGTAAGACGCATTATCATTACTACCTATCTTAAGATATAAATTTGCTGTTAGTAAGTAATAGTAGGTTTATTATATATATTATTATACCAATTTTTTTAAAATACTTGAATACGTAATTTTGCAATGAATATAATACATAATATATTATATTAAATGTTGTATACAATAAAACGTTGTGTATAATTGAACAAGCTGAGACTAGACATTTTTGAGATTTTATTTCGTTTTGTTATCTTACACGTGTGAGAATATAGTTTTAAAAGAACAAACGTCGTCTTTGTATAGCACATTAAACCTCACTTAAGTTATTAATGTTGTAATATAATTTATCACAACGAATAGCCCATACAGCACTATAAGCATTGTAAAGGTACAAGGTTAAATGTAAAAAAAATAAACATTTACTTCGAACACTACTTAACACGTCTACATTTTTTTTTACTCAATAACCATACTTAACCCACTAGAAATAAAAATTATATATATATATCGAGTACGCCTTTAATCTATTCAAATGGGCATTATAAATAAGTAATTTAATATTTAAAATAATTGTAATGTACACTCATTTTCATTTGAGTATAACGTTTAATCATGAATCATAATAATAAAAATAACCTACCTATTGTTATTGTCAGATATCGTTACAAAATTACAAGTTCCGGTAAAACATTATTTCACTTATAAGTTATTACACACTAATATTGTGCAATCAACAGACCAAATAAAAACTAAAAATCGTTTCAAAATTCAGACATCGATTGCTTAGCAACATAACGTTTACATGTGTGTTTTATGATGTGCGCAAACAGGGCTGGAGTACAGTACATATTAAACCTGTCGCATATAATTATCGCATGCTTTGATCTCCTTTTTCAAAACTATAAATAACAACATAGTACATTAGTACGTGATTTACCTAAACGATTTGATGAAGTGAATGTTAAAAAATATAACACTGCCGTTTCTTTTTTGTTTCAGGCTGCCAGTGGTGAGTGAGTGCTCGCCGCAGCAGACAGCCAGAGTGTCGGTAGCAGCGGGTTCGTCGGGATCGGTGAACGCGGCCGCATCAGCTGCCGCGGCCGCGGCGGCCGCCGTCGTGGCCGGTGCACCGAGCAGCAGCACCATGTCCGTATCACGGGTACCCAGCCCGCCTCCTTCGTCCGAGGCGAACACACCCGTGGCGGAGAACTGGTGCTATACACAGGTAAGAACGAACAATATGCCAACCCTATTGTCGACATCACATTCATATATTTTATTATGACAATAATAATATTATGTACGCCCGTCGACCATCGTTCTATATTCACGGTGTCGTACGTACGAGTCTAAAACGGTGTCGTTGTTGACGGTTATACCTACTTTTATATTAATATTATATAGTTACACTGGACGGCATATTAGGAAGTTATTAAACAAAAAAAAAAAAAAACGGTACTAGGTATTACCAATCTAGGTTTTTTCGCATCACACAATGGCGATTATTATCGCGAAATGTAATGTTATTCCGTATTATTGCCAGTTACTATTATTGTATATCGTTGTTGCCGGTCATTATTATTGTTGCGTCTCACGAGAAAATGAGTCTCCCGTTATAAACGCCCTGGATGTACGCACCAACGACGATAACGACGATGACCGCGCGACGTTTGCCATATAATATGACCAGGTGAACGTCCTTACCCTTGGATGTGTATTCATGTGTTTAATAATGTGTGTGTGTGTGTATATGTGAAACAGCTTCCCGGGCGGCTAAGTTCGTTGGCCCAACGGACCTCCGGAGCCGTTGGCCTCTACACGGCGGTGGCGGCCACGCCTATATTATTATTATCATTATAATATATTATTATACCCATCCGAAGTGCACATTTTAACGCAGAATTACAAAACGTTTTTACGACAATTTTTTTTTTTTAACAACGGAACAAAAAAACTATTATTTTTTATGTCATCGCCGCGGCCGTGTTCCCTCCCCCTGCTGTGTTAATACACGTGTATAATAAATATATAATAAAAGAGGGAATTTGTGGTGACGGTGGTATCACGTGTCCCTCAAGGACATGCGTTTTGGAGGTTATGTACGTGAACACCAAAAGTGGGCGCGTGTAGGAGACGACCGCGACCGCGAGAGCGGGGCAGAGTGACGGCGACCGTGGATCGATCCTACGCTCGCACTACAACGCGGGCCTGACCCTTTCAGGATAGTGCTCGGGGACCACACGTCAAGCCTCGCGCATTCAGAAAGTGGAATCGGTATAACAAGGAGAGGGCGGCGCGGACGAAGCTGTTTTTGCGCTCTGCGGATCCCGCCTGTCCCCTTTACCCTTGGCTGAATCGATAACCGCGCCCCGCCGTTCACCACAACGGTGGTGTTACTTGAGGGGGGGTGACGGCCGGGGGTGGCCTAAAGGCCAAAAGTTCGAGTTCAAAAGTTCGTATCCCTCGCATTTTCAATAGGTCACGGAGGAAAATACCCATTGCTGCTGCTGCTCCCCCCGCGTGTCGGTTTAGTAGTTAAATATATAAACCTCTAACCGCGGTGTTCCTATTATTTAGCGAGCAGATCGTGTGCGGCGTGCTGTATGCGTGCGCGCACGCGCGGCCCGCTTGTGCGTGATGGATGCGTGACAGGCCGCCACACAGCAGAACACACCCCTCCGAGTGCCATTTTTTCGTCCGAACTGTAAACCTATATTATATGCCTGTATACATTTAAACGCCCGTATTTCCCTGCTGAGACGCGTTTACGAACCCCTGATCGACCTGACGGTCGTCGACCTCCTATCTCTCTCTGTCTCTCCCCTAAAACGCATTGCACAACCCACACAAAATCTGAAATCATCTCCGCTTAAATTTATTTCAATATATTTTGTTTTATCAAACGTTATTATTTATAATAAATAATAATATAACATCATTAATATCCTTATAACCGCGAATTACCGACGGTACCGGAGGTGGTGTCCGTTAACTACTGAAGTAGTAGTAGTAGTAGTAGTAGTAGTAGTAGTAGTAGTAGTAGTAGTAGTAGTAGTAGTAGTATTAGGCACATAATATGACATATCCGATACAAGATGAATACAATAATATGCCTTTCCGGTACCCCTTCTACCCGTCCGGATAGCATACAATATCGCTCGAGCAAGGTCAACGGTAGCGTCTCGCTGTCGTCATCGTCGTCGTCGTCGTGTGCGTTTAGAGTACATTGGCCTTGGAGCGTTGGACCCGATTATGTGCGTATGGACGTGTGTGTGTGCGTGGTGTGCGCGTGCGCTCGTGTGTGTGTGTGTGTGATGGCCCGAAAGAAAAAGCGCCTGCCACGATGAGGGGGTGGGGCCGATGACCGGCTCTCTTTTCTTCACCGCACGGCCAACGGCGGCAGGCGCGCTGTATTACCTCCTCGCTCGTCCGTTCGCTCTCGTTCTGCGGCGGAGGATGACCCCAACTACTGCTCGGAGCCGTCAAGGTCGCTCCGGCGTTTTTCGGGCCCTTTTTGCCAGCGGGCGGCGGCGGCGTACCCACCGCAGCTGCCGCCCACTGCCCTCCCTTCCGTCCACCGACCCGAACGCTCGCGCGTCGCTATCTAAATTGATTTAACGCCACAATGGTTTCTCAGCTCACACAAATACTATAAAATTATGTGTTTTTACGTTATTACAATCATTTTATTATATTATAACAAAGTTAATGATTTGCGTGCAATCTGCTGAGGTGACTGCACATCTCAATCGCACTCATTTCCGAAGACCACAAACGATTTATAATTATTTCGCCGAAACGCCCAAAACTATGTATTTCGTTGCCTTTTATTGGACCTATATAATGCACTCCGCCGCTCTTTATCAGTGCCTTCTTGACGCCCAAATTCTACACGCACAATACGTGTTCCTTATTAATATTTTTTAAGCACTTCAAATAATCGAATATTGATATTAGATAGTATAGTTTTCAAATACCCTTAAATGAAGGAAATCTGCTGATATATTCGTCGTGTGATATGGATTGGATTGCGCGTATCCTGTGATCCATTGATACAATAGTTATACAACCGAACATAATTGATAACATTATTTGCAACATACGACGCAACGCTGCGCAATAATAACGCATTGAACAATGTTGCGTCTTCGCGGTGATCGATACGTTTACCTAATTCGCATTAGGCATATTTTTAATAGTTACGAAATTGGAATGACACTTCTGCGATAACCGATAATGTGATTTTGTAGTTTGAAAATTCTCAAAATAAAAATTTATTGTGAATATTATTTCACACATTGGTATGTTTATACTTCAGCACTACTAAATTTGGGTCAAGGCGTCAAATTCAAATGTTTTATTGATTTGTTATGAAACTACTGCTGCAGCCTATAATAGATTATAATGATTGTTTAGCCGTCGCTGTTAAATCAACTAATCTGAATTATTATTGGCAATAAGCAAAATATATTTTTATTTTTATCAATAATTTTATAGCTGGCGTTGCCTATTTTATTTTTATTTTTTATAAATATCATTACAAATACTAATGCCTATTAATTTTTGTTTTAAGGTGAAAGTTGTTAAGTTCAGTTACATGTGGACTATTAACAACTTCAGTTTTTGTCGGGAAGAAATGGGCGAAGTTTTAAAATCGTCTACATTCTCCGCCGGAATAAACGACAAACTGAAATGGTAAATATTTATATATTTATTTTCTATACGGCTGTTTTATTTTTTCCTTACATTTCCAAATGAAATACTGATGCGTATGTAATGTCATGTTATATTTAGGTGTTTGCGAGTGAATCCTAAAGGCTTAGACGAGGAAAGCAAAGACTATTTGTCTTTGTACTTACTACTAGTCTCGTGCAACAAGACTGAGGTTAGAGCGAAATTCAAATTCTCAATTCTAAATGCCAAACGAGAAGAAACTAAGGCTATGGGTAATTAATTGAAATTTCACTGCGTTTAAGAAAATTGTCTTGAATGTATATATTTTTTATTTTTATAGAGAGTCAAAGGGCTTATAGATTCGTTCAAGGAAAGGATTGGGGGTTCAAAAAATTCATTAGGCGTGATTTTCTATTAGACGAAGCTAATGGTCTTTTACCCGATGATAAACTTACCATATTTTGCGAGGTAATTTATATTTTCAAAAACCTTTTAAAATGTATTTTATACTGATTTTTGTACAAACTATCGAGTTTTTAAACTATATTATGATTATAATTGATGATAAATCTCAATAACGATTACTGGTACTGTTTACAAACTACAATGAAATGAAAAATAAAATCCTGGCAAAGTTTTAATGTAATAAAAAGTGGCACGAATAATGACTTGACAGATGGCTCGTTTGCAGGTAAGCGTCGTAGCTGATAGTGTCAACATATCCGGTCAGTCAAATGCAGTCCAATTTAAAGTACCTGAATGCCGTCTGCCCGACGATCTAGGAAATTTATTCGAAATACAAAAATTTAGTGATGTAACGCTTTCGGTTAGCGGGCGAGAATTCCAAGCACACAAAGCTATACTTGCCGGTAATTATCATAATCGCATTGCCAGTTCACGTTAATCGCGCGAATCGTGTAATCCATAATAATGTAATATGTAATAAGTAATAAAATCCCCTTACGTTGCTTGATCGATATATGTAGCGAGAAGTCCCGTGTTCGCCGCCATGTTTGAACACGAGATGGAAGAACGCAAACAGAACCGTGTCGCCATTACCGACGTGGATCACGAAGTCCTCAGAGAAATGCTTCGGTTTATCTACACCGGTCGGGCAGCGAATTTAGAGAGAATGGCTGACGATTTGTTAGCGGCAGCCGACAAGGTTTGTTCCGTTTGGTCATTAATATACTATTTAATATTTGTTTAAACTTATTTTACGTTGTTTTAATACTTTTTTGTTTTTCTTTCCACGCTCAGTACGCTCTAGAGAGGCTGAAAGTCATGTGCGAAGAAGCGCTGTGTAACAATCTGTCGATCGACAACGCGGCAGATATATTAATATTGGCCGATCTACACAGTGCCGACCAACTGAAAGTACAAACAATCGAGTTTATTAACACGTGAGTGTACATTATATTTATACTTTATAGTTTATAGTATTATGCCATGTACAATATGCATGCATAATACGTATTGTTTAGTAATAACTAATAAATTATATAGTAAAGCAGAATAGGTATCATTTATTATATTGTTTTATTACTACTTGTAATTTATAACCAATGATATTATATGGTTGTATACTCGTATATGTATATTACTTAATTTGATGAACAGTGGCGGATGTAGAATTTTTTTTTTTTTTGGGGGGGGCATTGTCTTTTTCCATGTTTTTACGACACAAGTATTTAAAAAACTGTCCAACTTATTAACCTAAATGCTTTGGACCCTCTGGCCTCCCTTTAAATCCGCAACTGTTGATGAACTATTTTAGAGGCCGCAAAAAGCATCATTATGAGAATAGTTTTATAATTCTATTTATTCAGTTGAAATACCTATCATGTGCCGCTTTTATTACATTTTACCATTACGCCAAATATAAATGATTATATATAATTGATTATAATATTAATATACTAAACAGCAATAAAATAATTATCTAAAATCACTATATCTAAGCCGCCTAGGCACCTAGCTAATTTACTAAGTTATTTTTTTTGTTCTCGATTAATTATCAACAAGTCATAAAATAATATGAGAGAAGGACAACTCCAATTTGAATTTAAAAAAAAATAAACATTTTTAATGACGTCAGTATTAAAATTAACGCATCACAAATACTTAAATTTCGGACCATAAACGGCTACATAAATACATAATATTATAATAATTCAGTATAGGTTATATAGGTATAGATTTGTCAAATTTATTATTCAATAAATGTTTTTGCGAAATTGATGGTCAATAACATTGTTTAGATCAGCCAGGGGGAAATGAAATGACTTATATAGTTATATTATATTTTACATAACTTATGTATAGAAGCAGTTGCAAACATCGCAAGAATTAATATATATGTAACACGATGTTTTAAAAAAAAATCGATATCAACCTGTCACGTGTAGGATTGGGTATCCACCGTTTGGCCTCTAAAGTCTTATATAGCCATCGAATAATATAATATACTATTATAATAATATTATGTAATGGCGTTGTTATAAACCGAGAAACCCACTACGTTGTCGGTGCTCTTTTCCCGTCAATAATTATTATCGGTGGCGATATAATATTATTATAATACATTTTATTATTATCCAACAAACGACGATAAATTCGTAATAATATCGTTCGTTGCCATTTTCTATTTCACAGCCATGCGACCGACGTAATGGACACTACTGGCTGGAAAACCATGATACAGTCGCACCCACACCTAATAGCTGAAGCGTTTCGCGCGCTAGCCACACAGCAAATACCGCCAATTGGACCGCCCCGAAAGCGCGTTAAACAAAGCTGAAACGGACCGTCCACAGCGGTGATGCAGACTTTCGATCTCACCAGCCCACCACCCCCACCCATCAACTCTTCCAGGGCACATATTTTGTAAATTTATATAATTTTTTTTTATTATTCACAAAATTGTAATTGTAATTTCTATTTTTTTTTTTTTTTTTTGTACATAATATGTTATTTCTAAAAATAAGAAAATTCCTAAAATGCAAGTAGCTTGTTTGCTGATAACGCGTTTGGACATGTTTGTATTCTCACAATATATAGTAAAAAAAAGTAATTGGCTAACGGCAATAGTCGTCGGAATGGCACATGTGATATGAGTGATATTTGCAGCCTAACCTCGTATAATTTTTTTTTTTAATATGTTACATTATATTATACATTCATTATAATACAAGTACTATTATTTTAGTTAGTTCCATTATTATTGTTATTAATAAGAATATACAGGTTGAATTGCATAAATCTTTAAGAGCACACAATTTTAATGGTCCATTGAATTGTTTAATTACTTGTTTTCCATTTGTCAAAGTGGTTCCTAAATTGTTTTGAATCTATTTTATGCAACTCAGCCATTAGATTTATAATAAACATTATTACATATTAATTAGCATTAAAAAACGATCATTGATGTTAACTATATAAACTAGGTCTCGTTATGAAATTTTTCGTTCAAACCGATTAAAATGGATTATTATAATGTAAAGTAAACTATATTTGGACAGTTTACTGTTTCCATTGTACTCGGTTTTTAATTTCTAACTCATTCTTTTTTTTTCTTTTGTGTGTGTTCATAAAATAACATAATTTAGATGTAAATACTTAATAATTTGTAAGACCGTCTGTGAAAAGAGACTGAAGAAATTTTCTTTGAATATATACCTCAGTTCGTAAATTAATCAATGCGTCCATTCAGTCGCTTTTATGATTATTCAAACTACTCGAGAATATAATAATTTTTATTTATTTATTTTATTATCTATTTTCTAAAATATTAACTATTATTATATTACTCTAAGTTTGTTTGATATTATTGTAATTAGTTGACCAAGTTTCTGTTCCTTGTAATTGTAAATAAGAATTTTTAGTCTCTTTTCTCAGCGTACTCTTTTCTTTTATTATTATTTGTTTTTCCTCCGTCACAATACGGGAAAACAATCAAACTCAAGCCTTTCCATGTTTATTTTTCCGAATTCATTTTACTCGTGTGATTCGCTTGTTGTGTGTTTACCTGTTGTATGATATCTACGTTATTCGATTACATAATTATGATATTGTGAATAATTTTAGACTATAGACTCGAAGTATTGTTTTTTTTTTGAAATAAAAACGCTCGTCTTTCAATCCTATTTTTAATTGTGTCCTAATTATTAAATTTTAAGAAATAAGAACCACAGGACTACAATCCTGTAATATGCGTATCTTTATGTTGATTACCATTTTAAGTACAAATCAATTTAAGACTAGCTATACAAACCAGTTGATATAAATACAATTTTTTTATTAATAAATTTTAATTTTAATATTTCAACTAATTATTAATTATAAATATTTATATCACATAGCCACATTGACTTTAGGCTTCAAAACAAAAATGTATCATTGAAATTCCTTAATGCACCTAATAGCCATGACCTAAAAAAAAAAATTATTAAAATGAATATTTGTTCACCTATTAAAACAGTTTCTGTTTTATATAAAATGTATAATTGATTTCACATGCTAACAAAATTAATTATTGTGCTTACAGTTATCACTAACCAATATAAAAGTACAAAACTAACAGTCTTTACATCTTATCTGTATAAATATTTCATAGAATATTATTTAAATATAACTATTTTATTATTAATATTATTATTTTACGAAGAGTCTAGTTGAGCGGGTCCATACAATATTGACATTAACCATTGCGTAAATTGTCACCCGTGTATTTCTAATACACGTACCATTTCGATCCTCGCTAGACATACTTTTTAATGAAAGCTCCTGTTTACTTAAATATGTGTATCAATGCATAAATTACAACACATTTAACCAGATGGCTTGATTTATATTTATAACCTAATTAGTAATTACTTTTTTAAAATACACCTAAAATAATAATTCATTATGACTTATGAGTAAATACATTTTTTAGTAACCATGTTACGTCTTTTACGTTTTAACTTTAGGTAACCTGAAGCACTTTTCGTACGATAGTTTACTATTCTCGGTAGTTAATATTAATAAATATAAACAGGTATATAATATACCTAAACCTATGTCCAAATTAATAAATCTTTGGAAAATTTCATTGAGCACCTATTTAAAACCAGGATTTAATTAACAGTGGATTGTTTCAAGTTTCAATGAATAATATTTTTTAAATAACGAAGTATTTAAATTACATAACAAACAGTGTTTTGTAATTTATTTTTGTCAGATTATTTTGTACAGTATGTAGGTATGTTTGTATTATTTTTGTATGAAAATATGTACACACATTGTAAAATACGTAAGTTTATGGGCTTATGGCTGATTTTCTGTTAACCATCTATTTGGATAACACTCATAGTCCTGGTCCCGACAGTGACAAATAATCAAGTTTCTGATGTAATTATTAACAGATGATGTGGTGACAAAATATTTTATTTGGTAAAATAGTAATAACTGTTCAATAATTGTTGACATTTTAGATTCTGAGTGAAACAATGAATGTATTGATTTTACGATGATGTGTTTTTTTTTAATATTTAAATTTTTTTTTGTGTCTGTCATCACCTTTTAGGACAGTAAAAGTCCTTGGATTTACTTCAACAGTATCTTTTCTGATAGGAAAGTGAATTTACCATACTTTGGGGGGTAAAAAGGTCCTCTGCTGTACAGTAGGTTATAAGTGGGTCACTGTATAATGGATGGTATTAAATTTGAATTCAATGATATAATATCATTGTATAAGAAAAAGGATTCTGAGAGGTTTGTCTGAGACGGTTGTCAGTCTAATTATAAGACATATTATATACTTATCTATGGTATTAAAAAAAATTGACCTACAATAAATTCCAAATTAATCATATCACAATATCCATGAGGTACCTACTTATAACGCGTTATACATCAACAACAAACCCTGATACTATCATAGATATATAATAGTGTACTTTAGAAGTTTCAAGTACCCACGAATAATATTATACAATCACAACAAAATAACTAAAAGTTATTTCAGGTTTTTTAATATTTATGTAATTTCATCCAAGTTTGAAATTAAAATGACTATAAAAATAAACTGTGATTATGTATTTTTTGGTAAAAGAATTAACTACTTACGTGGATTCTTGTTTTAAATTTTCAACCCTTAGATATAGAAGTTGTAAATTTTATACATTTTGTCAAAATTCGATCTTTAAATGCTTATTAAAACAAATTGTGCCAATGATGTATCTTCAAGATTTTTCCACTGCTATTGTAACAATATATCAGGAGCCTTGCATTCAATTTTCACGCATTTTTACCCAACAAATAAAATTTTTTTGATATTTCAAAAAAAAGAAACTAAAAAAATTAAAAAATGACAATGTCCATAAACAGCCCAAAAAACATATTTCCGTCTACCAGATACGAGCTTAGCTCAGGCCTCAGTATCAGCTCTAAATGTTAATACTTAATATTGTATTATAATTTAATCAAAGCTAAAATAATAAAAAAAAAACACCTAGGTACTTGATTTTTAATTTGTTTTTAACGATATATATATAATATGTAGGTACTAGGTATACTTATCACATTCACTACGTCAAATAATTAGTTGGGACACGTTAGATGCGTCACAAAATATATTGATGTTTGCTAGGAGCGTGCCACCAATTCGGACATTTTAATTAGTGTCGGAAAAATCAACTAAATAAGTTATTTATAAATGGATTGGACTGAAATAACAAGAAATTTCTATGCAGAGGCGTGTGTAAAAAAAACATTGCTCTACTGCGTCTTTATTTTATAGCACATTTAATTCAACGGACCTGATGTCGGCTATATCCGACATGTGCACAGTGAAAAAACCGATCTGTCGGATAGATATAGCCGACAAACGCAACGAATGTGTTATACTATAAGTATATATTTGTAATTACACTAATTAGTTTTTAAAAAAATATATGCTCAATAATTTTCACGTGGTTGTGAGTAATATAGTGAGTACCGAGTTTTATAGTGACTAGTGATCATTGGCGCAACTAGGGTCAATTTTTTTTTTTGGGGGGGGGGGTGGTGAGGCTGAAATTGTATATATAAGTTGCCGATAAGTGACAACTACGGTTGTATAGATATGAAACCGTGGCGACAACAAATATAAGTATATAACCAGTGTCAAGACTCAAGTGTGGCACAACGGCTACATGTAATAAACGAAATGCGTTTAACTCATGTTTATTTTGCTTATGGAATGTGCAACATTGATAATAATTGAAAAATTAATAATATTTGAATTTGAGGTTTTTTTTTATTTGAAAAAAAAACTTTTTAATTTCTTTATTAGGTACGAATAAAAATGTTGCAAGTCATGACTTACTTTTTTTATTTGTACCTATCATGTGGAAGCTGGATACATTTTTGGAGGGACTAAGCCCCCCTAGCCACCACATAATTGCACCTATGATAGTGAGTAGTAAATAGTCGGGACGAGTCGCATTTGTTATGAAACGCATTTACCTATAATATTGAAGTCTGGGAATTTTTGTTCTGATTACCACAGACAGTATATTATTATTGTGAAAAATTAAACTTGAGTAAGTAAATAATTTGTTTTTAGATTCTGAGTGAAACGATGATATCGATATAGTAGGATTTACAATGATGTGTGTTTTTTTTTAAATTTTTTAAATTTTTAAATTTTTTTTTGTGTCTGTCATCACGTTTTAGGACAGTAAAAGTGCTTGGATTTTCTTTAACAGTAGCTTTTCTGATAGGAAAGTTAATCTAGTTGGTACTTTGGGGGGTCAAAAGTAAAAATTTAGTAGTTTTCACAAGCGCCGGGAAAAACAACATAAAATTAAGGGAAACGGGAATTTTACACCAAATCAATTTTGGTTTTTGGTGTAACTCTAAAACAAATGAACGTATATACATGAAATTTTCACTGGTTCTTTATATTTGAATTTTCTATACACCATAACATTTTCAAAATATTTTGATTTATTTTGAACTGTTTATAGGTACATTTTCATTTTCCATTTTTTTTTAGTTTTTTTTCTAGAAATATCAATAAAATTTTATTTGTTGTTTAAAAAAACTTGAAAATTTAATACAAGGCTCCTAGTATATTTTTTCAAAGGCAGATGAAAATATTAAAATTCCTTAGTCACAGTTTTTTTTTAAAGGCATTTAAAGTTCAAAAATTGACAAAATAGACGTAAAAATCACGAAAATTAGCAAATTATTTTGAGTTAAGAATTTGTAAAAATTTTTCTTTTTAATTCTAAGATTTGAAAATGTAATACAAGATTCCATATAAAATTATCTACCTTTATCAAAAAAAAAAATGTCTATAAGAATGTCAAATGAAATTTTTATAAGCGTTTGAAGTTCAAATTTTTACAACATTGGATATTCACTCGATTTCTCATGTAGCGATTTCCTTATTTTGTTGTAATTCAAAAACGAACAACTGTAGATACATAAAAATTTCAAGGAATGTTTAAATTAGCATTTCCTATACTATACACCATAAAATTTTGAAAATATTTTGACTCTTTTTGAGCTGTTTACGGACATTTTCAGTTTTCAATTTTTTTTTCTATAAATATCAATTAAGTTTTATCTGTTGGGTCAAAAAGTTTAAAAATTTAACACAAGACTCCTGATATATTGTTACAATATCAGTTCAAAAATATTGAAAATACATAGGCACAATTTTTTTTTATAACTATTTAAAGATCGAATTTTGACAAAATTTATCAAAATCTCGAAAATTATCAATCATTGTAATTAATAAATTATATAATGTTCAGTTTTTATAGCTAAGGATTGCAAATTTAAAACAAAGGTTCTCATAAATGGGTCATACTGTAACCAAAAAATCTAAAAAATATATGAACACAGTTATTTTTTACAGACATTTTAAATTAAAATTTGGACGAAATTACATATTAAAAAACCCTAGAATAACTATTTTAGTTATTTTGTTGTGATTGAATAATATTATTCGTGGGTACTTGAAACTTCTGAAGTGTACTATTATATATCTACGATAGTATCACGGTTTTTGTTAATGTATAACGCTTATAAGTACCTAATGGATATTGTGATATGATTAATTTGGAATTTATTATAGATAGGTTACCTATTATAGGTCAATTTTTTGTTTAATATTATAGATATGTATATAATATGTTTTATACCTAGACTGACATACCGTCTCCGCTCAGAATCGTTTTCCTTATACAATGATATTATATCGTTGAATTCAAATTTAATATCATCCATTATACAGTGACCCGCTTGTAACCTACTGTACAGCAGAGTGACACCCACTTGCCCACCTTTTTTTTATATTTTTTTAAAGTATGAAGTTCTCCTTGCCCTGAGGTATCTATTTATGGCACTCAAATTCCTACTTCTTCTACAGTCAAATATCTAGGACTTACACTTGATCGTAGACTTACCTGGGCTCCCCACCTAAAATCTAAAAGACAAAATTTAAACCTACGGCTGCGCCTGTTAAAAACTTTTTGCAATAACAACAAATACACACACGTTAAAACTAAACTCCTAATTTATAAATCTCTAATTAAGCCCTTCTGGACATAAGGCATACAACTCTGGGGTAATGCAAAACTTTCAAACATCAACAAAATACAAACCTTCCAAAACATAGCGCTAAGGAAACTACTTATTGCTCCAACCTTTCCATTCAGCAAGATCTCAGGATGAACTCCGTCAAAGATGAAGCAAAACTCAGCTACTATAAGCGGTTTCACAGTAGGTTACTTAATCATCCTAACCCTCTCATAAAAAATCTAGCAGTTCTTTCGATTCCGGGTAACCCCGTCAGACGTCTCAAGACTCAAACGTAATTGGTGTGTTGGTGTGGAGGCAAAGTTGCCGCGCATGCGTGTCGCACACAATCACAATTCGCAACGTCTGAATGTCGCATACGGCATACTCGCATATTATTCGCATAGAGTGGCACGAGCGTAATTATTGTATTTTTGTATTGGATGACTCGGCGACGCCGTGTCGCCACTTCCCGCTGCCCCATGCCACGAGGCCAAGGCTTAGAAAACAGTTCAGTTCTATGGTGGGGGTTACACTCTCATTATCAGAAAAATAATTATAAACGACTTTGGCTACACTGCCGTAGCAAAGTCATCCGCGGCGGCCGGTCACACTGGTATCCAGACGTGACAGCCAATCACCGACAAAAACCGTTTCACAGCAACACGGCGGCGGCGGCGTACGCTCGATTGTGAAAAAACGTTTTTAGCGGCTTTACGCGGACCGTGTCATGTGCTCATTTATTACGGTTTACGGCCAGCGATACCATTATTCTATTGTCTGGCGTCCTTTGTTTACGGAACGTAATATTTGAAATAACGTCCTGTCGCCGTCATCGTCCATAAATAGTATCTCATCGATTTCTTTCGTGTTTGGTTACGACCTGCCCCCCAGCTATATTATCCATAGTTGTTGCTGCAGTGGTTTTTGTTTTTATACTAGTTACCTGTCCGAAGAGAAAAATGATTGGCGTGGGGAACGCTGCTGTGGTGTTCCGGTCGAAAAAGGACATCGATCGCCATGTGCAAGAACAGTTCGAGAAACTCAACAGCGAACATGAGGTTTGTAATATGATGGGTGTTTTTCAGTGTTCACTTGTTGTGCTTGGTCAAGCCGTGAGAGTGATCGGTTTTCCCGTGGACCGAGCAATGCGCCAGCGATTCCCGGCGTTTCACTTGCCATCATAATATGATGATATACATTTTTGATTCGACTACTTGTTGTGTTTGTTTAAATTAAAATCTCCCTCAATTCGAATGGTCATGTGACAAAGACAAACGGCTTTGTGTCTCAAACCAACGGGTTATAACATATTGATGAATTGAAAATCTATATTATGATCTGATATTTCTATTAAAAAAAACTCATTTTATCTCTTATCTAGTTATCTATGAATGAGTGATTTAAGTCTTCCATTTATTTTGCTATATACATTTAATATTTTATTTTATTAATTTAATAATTTTTAATATAAAGCCGACAAGATAATTTGATCAGGTCAGACGTCGTATCAGGTCGTGTGTAGACGTGTCATCTGACTATGATCCTGTCGGGTCTTGTCAGGTGTCCGTTCCATCTGACCATCCTGATTTGGTCGGTCCGACTAGATCATATTGTGTGTAGGGGGCTCATCAATTTCTCAATTCTCAGTTTACTTGCCTAGTTATTATGATTAAATATTATCTGCATTCCCACAATTTTAATCAAGCTTGACTAGTATAAATGTAAAACAAAAATTATATTCCAACCTAAGGGGTGGGTTGCATAAACGACCTGTAGCGCCTTACCGAAAAGTTAACGCACCGTCAACCGCTAACGGTTCTGTAAATATAACTGTTTGTGCTTAAACGCCCATTAGTGTTTATAGTCCTGTAAATTATCGATTACCGGATTTTTAAACTACCCATCGGATTTTGGTTTGGTAACTTACAGATTGGTGAAATATCATTGATGTTATCAATATTATTGGTGGTTTAATTTATTTGGTAATTGCGATTATCAATAATTTAATATACCTTTATGCAACACTGTCGTCTAGCATAGTTAAACACAATCATTAACTGTGTAGAATATATGTATAATGTATATTAGTATAACGATTGTTATCACACACATCAGTGGCATAGTGAATGGTAGTTTCAGAGGCAACCGCCTCTGAGATTTTTCTTAAATAGAGGGGTGGGTCCCCTAGTAAATGTAATAAGAAATACTCATTAGATATGGAGTATGTGAGATACAGGTAGTCAATAATGTTATGAGATATAATTATTTATATTATATTAATACATTATTATGCAATATAGAAATTGGAATATTTTTAACTCGCCTCTGGAAAATGTTCAGTTTGTCATGCAACTGACACGTTATCACAGCAGTGGAGAGTTATAATATAATTATATAAAACTTAAGAAAATTATCACAGCTCTGGAGTATTAAATCATAGTCTTAGATCATATAATATGGATTCAGCGTACATGATCTAAGGTTACTGTATAACTGTATAAGACAATCAAAAATTCTAAAATTATAATAGCAGTTTCGCAGTTTTAAAACATAAAAAACATTATCAGTTATAATAAAACGTCTATAATTCTATTTTTGGCAATCAATTTTCAGAAGTATTTTGCAATATTATTTTAAGATAACAGAATTTAAACTGGCGGTAGTCATTGTATCGGGAAGGTAGTAAAGATGATGGTAGTCGGGATAACGGAAAAGTACCATTAACTCTAACAAATTTACTTAGTAATGAAAATAATTATTTAAACTAGAAATATGTTGATAATTCACAAAACTTAATTTAGTTTCTTGATTTTGTCTTGAAATTATTTTTAATTATAATTTCAAGTCAAAATCCATAAAATGGGCAGAATGTTTTTAATTTAAATTATATTATTTTATAAGTAATTATAAAAGATATATTAGGTTTTATACTATTTTTATTTTGTATATATTCAATGGTTTTGTGTTTTAATTTTCAGTAGGTACATTAAAAAAAAAAAAATTTAAATTAACAAACTTTACTCCACGATTTATTTATATAAGTTTTATCGGTGGTAACTACAATCTACCATGCATTGACTTAAAATATAAATGTTTATTACTTTAGGACTGGGATGTTTATGAAATTGCATATTTTTTTCTTCTTATCCAATTTAATGCTCACCTGGATACAAATTTAATTCATGTTCTAATGAATCAAATAATACTATTTTTATCGATTTTTATTTTAAAATTAAAAATGCATTTTTCAGTATATTTTTTAAAAATAAAATATTTATGTTTTTAGTGCATATTTTGTTGTTTTTATTGGGTAAAAATATGATGTAAATCTCAAATAAATTAATATTTAAAAATGAGACTAAGATTTTTTAAATTTTAAATTTCAGAAAAAGCTTAAAGGATTAGCTATTGCCCGTATGTATTTCAAAGTATCTGAATTTGAGTTAGCTAAGCAATATGTTATTAGCTTTTTGAGCGTGAATGAGAATTCCCCCGAAGGACGACGATTACTTGGTCATTGTTATGACAAAATTGGAAATAAAGAAAAAGCAGTTTTAGAGTACCAAAAATCTTTAACTTCATCACCTAACCAACCAGAACTACTATTATTATGTTAGTATCACAATATAAATTGTAAATACATGTATATAAGTATTATTTATACATTTACTAATCAAAATAATTATTTTAGGTTGTGAGCTTATGGTTGATCCTTCTGTTAAGTTAAATGAAGTTCAAGCTGAAAAAATATGTAAGCAAACAGAAAATTTATATCCTTATCATCCTACTGTTTATAAACTAAAGGAGAGATTATTAGCATCAAATGAAAACTGTGATCCTCATAAAGTAGAGAATTTGCTTAATGGTATGTCATATATATATTATATTATATAAATTATTTAATTTATTAATTCTTACTATGTACTTTTTTCAGCTGAAATATCTGTTAGGCCAGAGGACATTAATCTTAGAATTAGACAGTTAAAATTATTTGAAAGTTCTGGACGCTTATCTGAAGCTTATTCATATGCAATCAATATAGAAAAAAAATGCAAGTTCCAAAAAGATAATGTTGAATGGTATGAGACCGTTTCTCAGATATGTGAAGTATGTATACATACATTATAAGTATTAATAATGTATTATTATCTATTTATAATATTTATGTTTAAATTTTCATTAATAGGCATATGGTACTTTAAATACAGTAAATTGGGAATTCTATTCACGGGTATTGCCTATTTATGAACATGCTGCTTCTTTATTTATTATTGAATCAAAAACAAACAAGCAAAAACCTGTATCGGAATGCTATAAAGTTCTTTTTAGGTATACATATATTTATATAGTTGTTATTTATTTTAAATTTATATAAATACATTTTTATTTTAGACTTGATCAGGCTCTATATAAAGCTATACAAATATCATCTCCACAAACAGAGTTTTACCGAAGTCTCATTCAACATTTATCAAATCAGTTTTATTTTCACTTAGCTAGTGCTATTTTAAAATTGGCCAAAAAAGTAATATAATTTATAGTTAATTAATATTCAGCCATCATTTGACGTAGTTACATTCTATTCAATTATTTTACAGGAAAATTCAACTTCTTGGTGTAAAAGTAACCAATTGTCAGCACCGTTATTTTTAATGTCCTTAGCGCCTCCGATTGACAAACAAGCTTTTGAAAGTATAACAAATAAAGAATTTAGTTTGGAGCAAAAATCAAATGTTGCGTTATGGGAATTAGAAGGTACCAGACGGATAATTGAGAGTGGCTTTGTTTTACGCGCAATGATGGCAAAAGAGGATGAACATTTTATTGATAATGTTAAACTATTGTGTATCAAGGATTGGAAAACAACAAACTATAAGGTATATTTTCAAAGTTCATTGTACAATTTGCTTCAATTTGTTATTTTTTTATTAAATGTATGTCTGTAGTGTTAGTAAACATGTATTTTATTGTATTTCCATTTATAGTTTATTAATTAACTGATCAAATTATGTCTGATTTTTAATTATCTGGTCACTATTCAAACTTCATCATTACGTCCTGAATTATTAAATATATATTTTATATAATATAAATTAATTAACAGGCTCATTAGTTCTCCTTCTCTTCTAAACTCTATCCCCTTTAATTTTTCTTCTTACAGTAACCTGCCCAACTTTTCTATATCTCATCTCACAGCACATATTATCTCACCTACTCACCCTTTCAAAGAGCAATGATACTTTGATACAAGTGCCCCAATGACGGCTTCTTTTTTTCTCCTTTGACTAAGATTTTATTTTCATGTTGTACTTCATAGTGTACTTAAAATCAGCATGAATAATAAGTTATTGTTGTTAGACTGTATGGTAATATTATTCAATCGTTGTTTTTGTTTCTTCTTATCAGCTATTTATATAATATTATTATTTTACTATATATTAGTCGTAGTGTAATTTTAATCACAATGTACCACTGGGCCTAGGCCTGTTTATTATATTACTTATTTGAATAAACATTTTTATTAATATTAATCAATTGCCCAACTTAAAAAAACAGGCTGTGTTTTGGTACATGAACTTATATATTTCCCTGAATAAGTATTAGAAAAATGTAGAATTACCTATATGTATAAAGAAAAACATTTTTGAACAGCTGTACATTTTATGTATCAATAGTATAAATAGTATCAATAGTATGTATTAACTTAATTAATAAATTTGAAATAACCAGATAACCTATTAAGTACTATTCATTTGATTATAGTTTAAAGAATATATAGTAGATACTAGATATCATTAGACCGAGCAAAATGCTAGGTACAGCCACGAGTTCATATAATTGTACGTAGAATATATTATTTTAAAATGAGTATGGTTAGAAAAATATATTATCTTTAAGAAGCAAAACACCTAGACCAGCTTCTATCTAACCATATAACCATATACAATTGAGAAAAACTGGTGCTTAGGACTCATGACCAATTTCTACTACAATTACGTAATAACTTCATTTACAAATATTGTTTCTAATATAGAAAATATTTGACGATCCAGAATATGCTAAAGGACTTCCAACATCATTTTTTATTCATTATTCACCAGAAAAATTAGTCTACAATATTCCAGAACTAATACAGTATGCTGTACCTAAACATAGTAAGTACTTGCTTAAATAAATTATATTAAAAAATAATCATTTGAAATTGAATTACTTATAATTTTTATTTAAAGTGTTGTCATTTGAGATGAGTCGCCCTGGTTCATTACATCATTTAGTTTGGTATGGAATACAACTATTAGAAAGTGAAAACAAAGGATGTGGACTAAGATTAACAAAGAACACAGTATTTCCAGTTGGGTTTGGATGTAAAAGTTTTAATGAATTACCTTTGGCTACTAATTCTCTTGCATCTGCCAATATTGAGTCGATATGTCAAATAGATATGAATACATTTTTATACGCTACAGGTATTGAGAATTTATAATTTAATTTGTATTCAGGATTATTCTACCCTAAATAGTTAAGTTTAATTGATTCCAATTTGTAATAAAAAATGTTAAATTAAATAAATATTTTGATTTGGTTCATTATTTTTTTTTAATAATAAGTAATAACTTATAATAGATTGAAAATGAGTATAAAATTATTTTTTAATATTAAACAATTTAGATATAATAAAGTATGGATAACCTAGCTTCTATGTAATGATTAAACGAAAATGGTCTAGAGATCTAGTCATAATAGCATAAACTGAAATATTTGTCTAAGTAATTTTCTTCAATTAAAACAAGGTTTTGTAATTTTAAAAGGATGTTGTACATGCATATTTTGTCTTCGTCTTATAAAATATGTACTACATACCAAAAACTGTTTTGGACGTGATGACTACTATGTACCTTTGATATTTTTATCAGAATTACCAACATTTTTTTGATAACGCTATCCAATAATTTTTAATAATTAAATAAAAAAAAAAAACCTTATGTTCTTCAACTGAATACTTTAATTGTATTCATATTATCTAAATAATAATAACACTTTAACAAAGGTAAAGTAGTTCTTTATGTTTTGTAAAACATTGATTATTTTATTATAAAAATATAGTGCAAGTAATGTTTCCCCTCGCTAAACAGATTTTATATACAATTGCCTTGTATGTTGTAAAACGGAGACCACACATGTAGGTACAATATCCTCTTAATTATACAGTTTAAAATATAATATTTGTCCAAATAAAAAACCTAAAATTTACAATAATCAAACACTATAATAAAACTCGTACTTATATTTTTTGTAAGTGAAGTTTCAAGAAGTTTAGTTTGTATTCTCTAGTTTTATAGTGTCAATCCAACAAGTATTTAATGATTTTATATTATAGTTATAGTGAATATAAAAAATAGTTTAAAAATGTAATTCAGTAAGTTACAAGTTATATTTTTTGTATTAATCTTTTGTTTAGTTTTTAGTATTGCTTCATTCCTGGATAACCAATTACAAAAAAATGATTCCAAAGCACCACAGACATTTCCATCTAATATAACTAATCAATTGACAACATCAGAACAAGAGAATTGGTAAATTACATTTCATTATATCTCTTTTTAAACATGTTGCCTACGGTGATATTCTGTAATACTCAAATTTTATTGTATAACCTAACCTAACCTTTGTGGCTGCCAGTATGCATAGATGATCATTACTTCCATGCCCCATACCACCGGCTACCGTAAATTAATATATAAATATAAAAGAACAGTTCTGACGGCACAATTGAACTTTTTCAAATAGGTGTTCCAAATATCTTCTTGAGTGTCACCACGTCGCCTGATTTTTCATTTTTTGCCTGAGGGGGTGAATTCTATTTAATGGTTACTGTTTTTTAACATGTCATTAAAACAAATTAGCGATTGTTTTCACAAAGTTATTCCTAGTGATTATTCCCAATTTTATTGTTAATTAAGAAAATGCAAAACCTGTTGTTTAAGAAGCCACAAATTTATTCGACCAATACATAAAGTCAAAAGACTAGGTACAACTAAATAATCACTTTCACATGCTTATAAGCAATTGCTTACTAATTGACTGAAACACGCTCAATGTAAAAAACCTATCTGGGTTCCAGAGCTGGGGTTGGCCCAAAATTTGAACATACAAAAAGTTCAAAATATTTCCCTAACCTAACCCTCCCTTTGTTTCTAATCTTATATTCCATAATTACTTTAAAATAACAGCACTTGTCGAAAAAACATTTTATAAATTTCATAAGCCAAATTGTATAAATTTCAGTATCAAAAAACTTTAGTTTTCCCTTTAACATTACTTTAACGTATAGTTAAAATGTAATTATGATTTTATATCGATTTTCGAGATACGCTGTAAAACCGCATTTTAGGTGTGTTTATTTTTTTCTGGACGAAGTCTGGTGATACAACAAGTGGTTTTATATTATTAATTTTTCCATGACGTTACAATAATCCACTAAAAAGTAGCGCCGTGGCTTAGTGGGGATCATTAAAGTTGTTTGTTATTTACCTAATAAACATTTTTTCAATACTTTTAAATGTTTTTTTCAAATACAATAGTATTTACAAGTTTGAAATTACTGAAAATTAATTGGTTTACTGATAATACATATTGTGTGATACATGGCAGTCAATGTGTTAAAGAGTTTTTGTTGTTTAACAAGAATTAGAAAATATATAAATGGTACATACGTAATATTTTTTAGGTGGAAATCAATGTACAAGATTTATTCAAAAAATGTTGATGTTAAATATGTATCACAATTAAGAAAAGCTGCTATTCAAGGATTAGAGTCAATTCGATTAATTGGAAATCATGGAATTGATGTTCAATTAATGGTGTATTTGGCAAAAAACTTTGCTAGTCAGGTATTACATTTTATATGTAAAATTATACTATTTCTAAAATGTTCATAATTATAATTTAGTTGTTTTATGGATAATAAGTACTTAAATGTATTTTAAAATCATTAATTCTTCTAAAGAATAAATGTGAATAAATTCAAAATGTACACAAATGCATTTTAAATACACTTACAAAGTTACAAAACAAATTGATTATTAATGTTCTTATTTAAGTTATTTTTGTAAGATCAAATATTTTACACTAGTCAAAAAAATTTTAGTACTTACTCAGCCACTATTTCAGTTTATGTAAGTTAGTATATAAATTAAATGTTATTGTAGGCTAACAAAATAATGGATAACTTCCTTTTAAAAGAGGGACTAGAAAAACGAGCTTCGCTTTATTGGAGAATGGCTATACAGTTACTTGAACGCATTAATGAACGTGGAGTCGAACATAAGTCAAAAAATACATTGTTTGAATTTTACAGGTAGCTTGATATTTATTGTGTTTTTATGGATCAGCATAATAATTTATTGATATTTTAAAATTTAGAAAAAAATTGACTCCAGGAGAAATATTTGAATTATTGGAGGAAGGTAAATTTTATTTAGCTTGTCAGTTAATGAACAGTGAAGAAAATGAAGAAGCAATAGAAGCATTCAAAAACATTAATTCACCATACGCATCATTTTACCAAGCAATGGTTAGTTAAAGTTAATATCTACTAAAGGTGTGCAAAAATTGTTTTTCAGATAAAAGACTAATTCATATGCTAAATCCAAAATGTATGTATGCATATGCATGTATTGTAAATTTACCGTCTACTTATTTGGTGAAATATAAGTTGATAAATTGAATATTATAATAATATTGTACCGTTAATATAATATGTTATACATATTTAACATATCATATTAGTTCCTCATTAGGAATACAAATTCCTTAAAAGTTTGTAGTTTAGGCTGACAAACTGCCTCTGCTCTGAATTTTCCTTTTTTGTATTTAATGGCCCATGATTTATCATTGCCTTTAAATTCAAAACATGCATTACAGTGACATACTCTTAACTAATAGATATCAATTATGTTATATACACCTAGTCATTTTTAGTTTTTGTTACATGCATATGTCACAATACCGGTTTATAAACTACAAAATTGTTAAGTTTCTGCGTTAGAAAGGTTCTACTATTTTATTGAATTTCAACGTGTATAACGTGTGAATATAACTATAGGAAACATACTGGACCAAAAACATTTCTGGACTCAACAGTTTTCCTTTTTATTCTTGGTCAATCAAAAAAACTTCTATACATCAGAGCAACTACCCCTGTTTTTTTTTTATACACAATTTAATTGACAATTAAAATTCAAACATTAATATAAAAAATGTTGTCTATGTATTTTATATATTTTGCAACTACTGCATGTATTGTATTTTATTTTATTTTACTTTTTTAAATTGTATTTTACTTTTTTAAATTGTATTTTATTGTTCATGAAATATTATTTTTGTACACTTTTACTATTAGTACTAAATTGATGTAGTTTGATTTGTTTGTTATTTGATAATAATGTGTTACAGATTTATAAAAAAATGATAAAATCGCCTTCTTTTGACACTTCTACTGATACATCATCAGAAGCAAATAATATGGTAATGGTGAAAGTTAAGGAATTACTAAATATTACTAAAGATCGTTTAAAGAAAAAACCTCATCATCCATTGCACTTGCAATTAAAAGAAGAGTTATTAGATTTAAAATTAGATGTTGATATGAATGGGACACTTAATAGTCGTAAGTATTTATTTAAAATAATTCATTAAATTTTTTTTATGGAACTATATTTTGGGAATGATTAAATATCATCTATAGTTAGCCCAATCTTAAAAAAAATATACCTATATATATAGCATTGTATATTAGTTTTAATAATGTATGTTACTTTTTGAAATATATACAGGGTGTAACAGAAAGATATGACAAAATCGATTTTGGTTTTTGGTTAAACTCTAAAACAAATGAACGTATATACATGAAATTTTCACTATTAGTTTATATTTGCATTTTCTATTCACGATAAAATTTTCAAAACATTTTGATTTTTTTTTGAATTGTTTAAGAACATTTCCAGTATATGTATATGTCATATCTTTCTGTTACACCCTGTATACATTATATTGGTAGTTTGATCAATTACAAATGTATAAGGAAGATTTTAAGGGGATTCGATACCGTGATTTTCTGTTTTTGTCTAACACACATGGCAATATAGTATTTTAGACGTGGTTTTTGTCAAACATTCCAATTGATCTATTGAAGCGATAAGATTTCTGAAAAGAGATTTGAATTTTTCGTCAAGTCTACTTAAAATCGACTTTCCCACATTTTTGATTTAAACTCCTCCAATAATTGAAATACCAGAATTTTTAAATACTCTTTTTGAATATGACATTTTGAAAATTTGGGGGATAATATCAAAAATGTGGGAAAGTCGATTTCAAGTAGACTTGACGACAAATTCAAATCTGTTTTCAGAATTCTTATCGCTTCAGTTACTGTACAGTAGGTTACAAGTGGGTCACTGTATAATGGATGCTATTAAATTTGAATTCAATGATACAATATCATTGCATAAGAAAAACGATTCTGAGCGAAGACGGTGTGTCAGTCTGGGTTTAAGACAAATTACATACATATCTATGGTATTAAAAAAAAATTGACCTATAATAAATTCCAAATTAATCATATCACATTATCACAATATCCATTAGGTACTTATAACACGTTATACATCAACATCAATAACAAACCCTGATACTATCATAGATATATAATAGTACACTTTAGAAGTTTCAAGTAGGTACCCACGAATAATATTATATAATCACAACAAAATAACTAGGTTTTTTAATATGTAATTTCGTCCAAATTTGAACATAAAATGACTATAAAAATAAACTGTGATTGTATATTTTTTAGATTTTTTGGTAAGAGAATTAACTACTTACGTGGAATCTTGTTTTAAATTTTCAATCCTTAGCTATAAAAACTGAACATTTTATAATTTATTAATTACGATGATTAATAATTTTCGAGATTTTGAAAAATTCTGTCAAAATTCGATGTTTAAATGCTTATAAAAAAAAACTGTGACTAACAATTTTTAATATTTTTCATCTGCCTTTGAAACAATATACCAGGAGCCTTCTATTAAATTTTCAAGATTTTTTAACCAACAAATAAAATTTTATTGATATTTCTAGAAAAAAAACTAAAAAAAAATGAATAATGAAAATGTCCCTAAACAGTTCAAAATAAATCAAAATATTTTGAAAATGTTATCGTGTATAGAAAATGCAAATATAAACAACCAGTGAAAATTTCATGTATCTACGATTGTAAAATCGATTTTGTGTAAAAATTATCGTTTTTCCTTAATTTTTCTTTTGTTTTTCTTGGCGCTTTTGAAAAGTACTTGGAATTTTAAATTTTGACCTCCCCAATGCACCAACGATATTCACTTTCCAATCGAACAAGATACTGAAGTCGAAAATCGAAGCATTATTTTGACTACTTATCGTGTACACTGTACACAGACACAAAAAAAAAAAAAACACATATCATTGTAAAATCAATACATTCATCGTTTCACTCAGAATCTAAAATATTTTGAATTCAATAGTAATTTAGAAAGTAATATTTTTGTTACTATAATAATTAAGGTATTTAGACTTGTTTTTTAACTTCTTATCAGAAGTTTTTTTTTTACTAGTACTAATGGAAATTTAGCCCGTCTAATTCTTATTTTTATTATTTTTGAAGAATCTAATTTAAACTTATCTGGAGAAGATTATAGTGATGCTGTAAATGTATCAAGGAAACACATGTATAATAAATTTGGAGATCGATCCTTTCTTAATGTTACTAGTACTCCCGTTAAATCACCGCTCACTCCAGTAAGCATACATAAATCTTATTATTTAAAAATAAATTTAAGTCCAATGAATATAATACATGTTTAATGTATTATTCAATTTCAAATTTTAGACCCGAAGAATTTTAGATGAAGAAACTGATGTCAAATTATTGAATGAATTAAAAGTAACTGTACAATCACAGAATGTACAGTGTCAAACCTTAGGATTGCAGTATTATAATATGATAGAATCATTAAGGTTAATGTCTGAAAAGGTTGATAAATTATTTGATCATTTTGACAAAACAAAAGATTCAATATTTGATAAGATAAATGAATTATCTCATCAAGTTTCCACAAATATTTCTACAGCTACTACAAATGATAAGCTTGAAAAAGACAGTAAACTAATTGAACGTATTGACCGACTAGAAGAAGTTTTGATGCTAAAGCTTAATGCTATGAATGAAATGAAAACCAGACATGATGATTTGTATGGTGTATACGAAAATGAAGATGATTTTGATAAAATTAATTATGATCAATCATCATGTATTCAAAATGCATTTGATGATCAAACTCAATTGGCTACTATAAGTTTTCCAACAACTCAACTGCCATTTACGTCTTCTATACCATTTCAGCAGTTAGGGTTATTTAATCCAACTAGTCAATCTACCCAATTTCCATCGTTTCCAATGGCTCCTAACCCAAATGTAAATATAACATCGTCTGATACTTTACCAACTGGACCTCCAGTGTCCCAGCCCCCTCTCAGTGTAATTATACCAACACACCATATTCTTGGTGGTAGTTTAATTACATCCGAAGCGCCATCCCATCCTTTCAAATTTAATAGCCAACAGGTTAATAATCAATCTCAGTCAGTCATATCTCGCGGGGTACCTAGTATTCAACCAACTCCATCTGTTGATCTATCGAGTACCGAACAAATTTCATTTCAATCTTCTTTGTCAACATTTAAAGAAACTTATGAAGCTTCATTAAATAAGTCTAGGAACTCTGGAACTGATGATAGTTATGCTGAAGAACATGATCCAATACCAGAATTTCAACCAATCATACCATTGCCTGATGAGATCGAAGAAGTAACTGGTGAAGAAAATGACACAATATTATTTGAAAGACGTGCTAAATTGTATAAATATATTCAAAAGGAATGGAAAGAAAAAGGTATTGGTATTTTAAAAATATTAAAAAACTGTGATACAAACAAAGTTAGATTGGTAATGAGACGAGAGCAAGTACACAAGGTTTGTGCTAATCATTTCTTATATGACAATATGGAATTGAAATCTAAAGGCGATAAAGCAGTTGTTTGGTCAGCTAATGATTTCTCTGATGCTGTTCAAGTACAAATTGAAAATTTATGTGCAAGATTTAAAACAGTAGAAGACTGTAATGAGTTCAGAAGAGTCTTTAATGAAAACAAACAACCCTGTTCTCTAAATACTTCATCAGTTGATCCCAACATTACAGACGATTACAGTGAATCTGTTTTTGAAGTAAATAAAGATTCGAGCTTAAAATTATCTTTGGAGAATGAAAAATCACTTAAACATGAATTAGGTGGTTTCACTTTTAGTTCTCCGCCTATTATAAAAGATGTTACTACACCCAAACAAAATGAAACACCAGAAAAGCCAAAAGGTTTATTCTCTAATTTGAGCTTTTCAACGCCTATTGGGAATACAGCAACACCAAGTTTAAAATCACTATTAAAACCCATGGACTCAGAAACTAAAACGGATGTAAATGATAAACATTCTTTTTCATTTAATACATCAAAATCTGCATTATTTTCTACAGAGACTACTACTCCTAAGTCTACAGAGAAATCATTATTTTCTACAGAGACTACTCCTAAGTCTACAGAGAAATCATTATTTTCATTTAATAATGTGGAAGAAAAATCTGCAATGTTTACTCCAAAATTAGATTTTACATCTGGGACATCTGCAACATCGTACTTTAGTACACTAGCAAAAAGTTCACCCAACCTAGGTTTCACAAACTCTCCCGATTTCAAAGGTTTCCCAGGTGCTGGTAGCACTATTTTTAGTGTTAAAACTAATCCTTCCCCACATGCCATTATTAAACCGGATGATCTCAACAATGAATCTTTAAACCAACCATGTGAAGGTTCTGAAGAATTTGTTCCAACTGCTGAATTTTCTCCAGTTATACCTTTGCCTGAGAAGGTAGAAGTAGTTACTGGCGAGGAAGGACTTGAAACTGTATTTGATGATCGAGCAAAACTTCTCAGGTTTGATTCAAATACCAAAGAATGGAAAGAGAAGGGAATTGGACAAATGAAAATTTTACACAACCCTAAAGATGATTATTATCAGTTGTTAATGAGAAGAGAAGTAATTTTAAAAGTTTGCTGTAACCAAAGGTTGACTGCTGATTTGGAATTGAAACCTGTGACTTCATCAGAAAAAGCTATGTCGTGGGTTGGCCAGGATTATTCGGAAGGTGAATGTAAGAAAGAGTTGTTTGCTATTAGATTCAAAACTATTGAACAGCTTCGTGCATTTAAAGATAAATTCAATGAAATCAAGAACAAACTCCAAAAATTGAAGGATGTTTCTAGCAGCTCAGAAGCTAAAGTAGTTGAAAAACAATCCGATATTAAACCAGATGTCAGTAAACCATTACCCAACTTAAACGATCTAGCTCAATTTAAACCCAAACCTGGCTCCTGGACTTGTGATGCATGTTATTTGTCAAATGATGCAAATACTGTTAAGTGTGTTGCATGCTGTACAATAAAACCAGGAGCAGTTGATGATCAAACTACTAAAAGCCAATCAACTACTGGTTTCACATTTGGACAAACGTCGTTTTCATCCTCGTTAAAATTTGCAGACGCTTTGAGTAATTCTCAGCCAGGCATTCCATTTGTTATGCCAACATTTGGTGGAACACCAGCTCCAGTGTCTTTTAGTTCATTGAGCACAAGCGACCACACAAACACATTTGGTGGAACACCAGCTCCAGTGTCTTTTAGTTCATTGAGCACAAGCGACCACACAAACACATTTGGTAGAATACCAGCTGCAGTGTCTTTTAGTTCATTGAGCACAAGCGACCACACATTTGGTCTTCCAATTAAGACTGCCGTCCATCAAGAAAAAACTTTAACGTGGAGAGAAGAGAGTGCTGGACTGGAAAAATATGATTCTGATAAAAGTGATGACGAAAGTAATGATGGAACTGATGAATCTGGCGACGAGAGTGATGATAATGACAGACAAAAATCTGTGTTTGGAAATGAAAAAACAAAATTCAGTTCAAATGGTAAATTTATAAAAACAACAACAATCCAATCTTAAAAAAGTATTAAATGTTTATTTTCAACTCTTAATTATTTATGTTTGCAGTTAAAATTGAAAAGTCTTCATTTAAAATAGACAATTCTTCAACCACCTTAAAATCATCGGAAAGTCAAGGTAAGTTTTTTATGATTTAAATAAATTTTAATACAAAATAATAAAATAATAATGGATTTGAAGAAAACATTAGACATATAAGAAAGTTATCGGAATGAAGTGGAGAAGAACAATCTGGTGGATGTTTGATGTGACAAGAGAATGTCAGTAAGATTAGACTATTCAGGGGTGGATTTATGGAGGTAGCATATTAGCATCTTATTTTGGTTATTTTAAGAAAATATTATTCCGATCTCTAGTTATCAGTATGTTAGAAATGATCTTGTACTATGTACTTACAACAATTGCAGACTGCATCAAAGAATTGCACATAAGTTGGGGATTGAATGAGGAAGCTTGAGATGGTTTTGACATGTTGTGGGAGAAAAGATTCAGAGGTGTGAGAGATGTCATGGAAATTTTATAAAAAGAGAAACTGATAAGAAGATTGATAGATGGATTAGTGACATGAAAGTAGCGAGTGTAAAAGATATAAGAAGTTGGAGGTCAAGCACTTTGCAGGTCTAAGTCAAGAATGGCGGGCCCTAATAAATTGGGAGCTTACGTATAAGACGAAAAAGATTAAGTGTAAATTAAAGCGTTCTTTAAATTGTTACAGTTAAAATAGAAAGTCCTTCATTCTCTACTGATAATTCAAATTCTTTTAAGTCATCTGACAATCAAGGTATGTATTATAAGAATATTACCATTTTTAGTATTTATCTTAATTTAATAACTTCAATATATTTTCTATATATGTATACCGTGTGTCCATGAAAACAGGGTATACAGAAAAACTGAAGTTGTTACTCATGTGTAAAATACAAGAGTTAAAAAATTTTAAGTCAGAAATGTATGATCCAATAATTAAGTCTCATGTCACACTCAACAGAAATCAAAAATATGTATGGGCTACTGAGTAATTTAAGAAACTAAGTTATAAAGTGTATCCTGTTTTTGTGGAATCACGGTATATTAAAAATAATCTTAGCAGGACCTCATACCCGTATGTGTTGTCTCAGTCTCGCTTTCGTATGGCAGAACATTTTTGCTCCCCACTTTCTTCGATCTGTTAGTTCTGATATTTGAGTGAATTGACGTATTGTCAAACTTTTATGTAAGAACATTATCTGTGTTCTTGCTTGGGTTTTTTACAATATTTTAATTTAGTTATGAGTAAAATATTAATATTTGAAAATGTTCATAACTCTTAGAAATTAAAATATTGTAAAAAAATTACGTGAGAACACAGATTATGTTCTTACCTAAAAATTTGGAGTCAATTCACTCTAATATCAAAACTAAGAGCACACTACTGAAACTGGTGAACAAACATTTTCTGTGTCTGTGTATGTGTGAGACGAAAACATGGGGGTTTGACATCATCTAATATTGTTTATTAAAATTTTGAAAAGCGGTTATTTTTTTCAAACTATAGATTGATTGCTCTAGGTCTTATTGAAGAAAATAATAATTACTTTAAATATTATTATAAATAATTTCTTTAATAATTTTTGTTTTTAATTGCTTATTATTAGGACTTAAAACAAATTATTCTGTTTTGTATATACTATTTTTACTATTAACTTATTCCTAATAATACTTATAATTATACTGTTATAATAAGCCTAATGATGTTTTACAGAGTCCGTGAAATTTCTTGATGTTAAGTCACTTAAAGATGTGGTATCTCATACTGATCAAGAACTTGCTGAAGAATTGAAACTTCCATTGTCGTTCTTTCTTTATAAGTCAAAACCTAAATGTAAAGGATGTGTTGGCTGTGAAGAAGATTCTGAACATGTAAGCTTAAACCCAAAATGAAATTTATTGTTGATTGTATATTTTTAATTTTATTTTTAGAAAGAAGAAGTAGATGATGAAAATATTTCTTCTAAGACTGATAGTGAAAAAGTAATTTTATTTTTTTAATTTTACTATATTTAACTTTTCTACATTTTTATATTTCAATAAAATATATTTTTTAGATTATTAAGGTAATCAGATATTGGTAATGGTCCAGTTTATGACCTTCAAATCAATTTTTCACCTTAACTTTATCGTTAAACATTATGTTGTAGAAAATGAATTCTATACAATTCTGTGTTTGGGGACATTCCTTCAATTTTCAATAAAGCAGATGACAATTAATGTCATTAGAAAAAAAATTAATTTTTTATCCAAATTTAACATTTAAATTCTTCATTGTTTATTTTCTGTATTCCGTGTGTAATCTACTGTTCCGAATTAATAATAGTAGTATATAATAATAGAGTAGTTGACAATTTTGTAAATGTATCCATGTCTACTATCTATTTATAAATTATCTGAAATTGGATTTTTTAATTATAATAGAAGAATTTCTTTACAATTTATTTTGACATTAAAACACCATCTATTTAAAGTAGAAATACATGTTATTTTAACAACTTCTACAATATTAGAATTACCTTATAATATTTTTATACTTATAATTTTTGTATTTAGTCCTTCAGGTTGCCATAAAATGTGTAGGTTGTGTAATAATATTGTATTGTTATAGATGTTTATTAAGACATAGTAATTTATTTTAGGAAATTGAAAAAGTTAAAGAACAAGATGAAGTACCTGTTAGTGTTTCCGAATCAAACATTACTCCGATCACATCAACAAATAACATACCACAGTCTTTTCATACTACGTCATTTCTTTTTGGCGATAAATCTTCAACAAATATTTTTGAAAAACATACACCTATTGCCCCCATTTTTGGATCCAAACCAATTTTTGGAAGCTTCTCTTCGGATTCTACTAAAACAGATGATACTAAATCAACAAACTTATTTGGTCTTTCCTCTAATGTGAATCCTTCATCAATATTTGGTTCATTTTGTGCTTCTGGATCAACAGAATCACCAAATACTACCCAAAGTTCATTATTTTCTAAGACTGACGATATTAAATCCAAAACAGAAGGTTTATTCAACTTCAGCCCTAAAACTGATAGTCCCTTCAAATTTGGAACAATTTCTAAGGATCCTAAATCAGTGTTTGGACAAGGGCTTTTTGGTCTAAAAGATAAAACTACCGCCGATGAAAGTGCTCTTAAAGGTATAAAAAAATAAAAAAATAACTTAGTACATTGTTTTAAATTTTCAATATTAATAATTATTTTGTGATATTTGTAGTTAATCCTTGGGCGGCAGGTAACTTCAATCTAAACAAATCCACAGATGAGGAGAAAAATTGTGAAAAAGCTGAAGAAAATGGCGAGGAAGAAGTTGATAATAGCCATGATCCTCATTTTGAACCTATCATACCACTTCCTGATGCTATTGAAGTATCAACAGGAGAAGAGAATGAGCAAATATGTGAGTGATCAATATAAAAAATTGTAAGCACTACTTGACTTACAATGATTTATGTTTTACAGTATTTTGTGAACGTTCAAAATTATTCCGCAAAGATGGTAGTGAATATAAAGAAAGAGGTCTTGGTGAAATGAAAGTATTGTTTCATCCTGAAAGGAACACATACCGTTTCTTATTTAGAAGAGAAAAGGTAAATTTATTTTTAAAGACCTCAGTACTTAATATGTATTCAGCATCATTATACAGTTTTAATTGTTTTTTTAGGTGTTCAAAGTTGTATGCAATCACTTGATTACGTCGGATATAAAGCTTGGGGCTATGACATCTTCAAACAAGGCGTTTTGCTGGCCTTGTATGAACACAACTGAAGATCATCCTGAGCCACAAAAAGAGATGCTGGCTGTACGTTTCAAAAATGAAGAGATAGCTGGCAAATTTAAACAAGTGTTTGATGATTGTGTATCAAAATTAAGTGCATAATAATAGTGCATAATCCTCGTTTACGCCAATTATTAGACTACCAAGGTTTTTAATTTGTTATAGTTTCCATTATCAATCTTTATATTATATGAAAGACAGTTTTTTTTTTTTTTTATTATTAAATTATTTATATTTTTTTGGCAATAAATTTACTGTCAATAAGGGTAAATATGTATGTAATCAGTTAATAATGATTCAAATTAACCTTATTATTTTTAAACTATTACTCTGATTTTTAATTTTTAAAATATACAAATTATGTGTTATGTAACTATTTATTTATTTATTGTTCATGGAAAAAGATAAATAAATAACAACTGTTGGTTCCTTTAAAAAATTTGTATTGCATTAATAATTATTTATGTACATCGTACACCCTACACTCCGTATTATCATGTAATTTGGATCAAATCCGTATTTTTAAGTGAAACAATATTTAGAAATAAGAGACTAACTTAAACTGGATAACTAGAGTCTAGAGACATCAAAAACTTATTAAAATAAAAAAATAATTCTTTATATAACAGATAATCTATTTGATTATTCATGATGAAAATTACTTGTCATCCAGCTTGGAATTTCATACAAAAATACTAAAAATGCAGTGAAAGAATGACATCTTTTGTGGTATGAATATGTATGTGAATGTGTATTACACATTATTTTTGTATATTGAAGTTTTATAGTAATGTTGCGTGGCCACATCTCCTCTTACTTGCTCAATATTTTGATACTAAGAATATATTCCCCACATAAATGTTGAGAATACAATCTTTTATTTTTTATCAAATTGTAATTTAGCAGTTACTTTATTTTTATTTTACAAACTAATAGGTACCTAGAAATTATAATATACAAAATAATTAACAGATGCTTGAATTTATTTAGGAGAATTGATCTAAGACTTTGTTACTCTTTTCATTCCGACTAGCTTCTAGGAAATCGCCTTCATGCCATTGTAAACAATTTTAAGCCCATCAATAAAATAGAATATACCTAATTTTTCTGTACCTATACTCATAATAATTAATATCTACTTAAACACGTACTGCACACGTCATTTCCAATTTTGAACTTGCTTCTCAATTAAAAGTAATTGAGTGGAACCCACTAAAAATAGGGAGCCGACTGAGCCGAGTATGTATTTTCACTTCTGTAGTGACGCAATAAACACTAGGGGGGGAGGGCTATTTCCCAAATTGGGTGGAAGCTTTAGGGGCTAAGCCCGCTCTTCACACATTTCAATAGTCGTCTCAAACACTTCCTAATTTTTTTTATGCCGATACAATATTAATTATTATTATAGTAGGGGCGTAGGGCTTTAGTTCCCCCCCCCCCCCAACAATGTCAAACGCTATTTGTGCCTATGCTCGCCGCATCTTCGCAAGCAACAATTCGTGGGTTTGGATCCAAAAGGTTCTGTCGTTCTATGTAAATATTTTATTATTTTTTGACTACCTAATTTTATTTCTTCTCAATTAAATGTTGAGATAATACAAATTCTGATTTAATTTAAAAGGTTTCGATAACTTATACGTCCAAATCGAATAATTATTAGCTGAAAAATATTTAAACACATTTAAATTGGCTTTTCTGAAAAATTTCAAATTTAGACTTGGAACCTTTTGGATCCATACCCGCCAATTTGCGTCTGATCGGCACTAAAGCGGATTAATTTAAATAATTTTTCATTTACTCAATATTTTTAGCATGTTTTTTATAATTATTCAGAATATATTATACTATAATAATTATTATAACAATAATAATATGTTTTATTTTCATATATTATAATCTGTGTTTGGAGTTTCTGTTATCAATGTTGATGTTTACATAAAATGCTCACGGTTATCGCGGTTTTGATAACAAAACCGTAGCCCGCGCACGTGCTAAAACGCTTCAAACCTCTAGGCGCCGTTTAGTGCTTCCAAAGTTCCACTACAAATATTTCAAAATAGGTACTAATATTGAATACTAATTACAAATCTGAAACCACAGTACAAGCATGAGTTTGGTGTCGTTGAACGAGGCGGAAAAGGTGTACATTATTCACGGAGTTGAGGTAAGTCTGTAACGGTACAAAGATTTGTTTGAGTTCTGTAAACGTCCGTCTGGCTCCTGATCCAGAGGTACTAGGAATTTAAACGGGCCTCTATTAGGACATAAATTCAACAAAATTGGCTCGAATTTATTTTTAAAAAATGTTGCCAGTAAGCCTTGAACACTGCCGATTGTTTTAGGAAAATTTCCGATGTGACGGACGCAGTCGACAAGACTACAGGCCATTGGAATTGGAAATGGACATTGTGAGCAACGCTAATGGGTCAGCTCGCCTGCGATTAGCCAACTCTGATATTTTAGTGTGCGTAAAAGTGGAGATTGACACTCCACTTCCAGAAGCTCCTAAGGATGGCAAAATAGAATATTTTGTCGATTGGTAATTATTCAGATGTTGAGAAACGTTAATCAAGCAGTGTGCTTATTGTTATGCTTTGTTTCATACAGTTCGGCCAACGCAACTCCAGCATTTGAAGGACGTGGCGGTGAACATTTAGCTGCTGAACTCAGTCGCTTTCTTTGCTTAGCTCATGGCCCAGTATTTAACTTGAGCAAATTGTGTATTGTTCCTGGACAATCATGTTGGAAATTGTTTGTCGATGTTCTGATCTTAGAATGTGGAGGTACCTAAGCTTCATATTAATTTAACTATTTTATTTTAATGTAATCAAAACAAGACATAGTTTCACCAGCTGCTATTTATTTTTAAATTGGTAAATAATGTTAGATTTAATTTCACGGTTATTTGATTTTACAATATATTATATAATATTGTAAAGGGGAAAAGTAATAACATTCTACAAACATCTGCAGGACCAAAATAACAGTCAATAATATAATAACGTAATATCTTACACTTATGTATTTATATTTTGTTTGCTTTCGTAGATTCAACGATGAATTGTAATATTAATAAATTAAAAATTATAAATTGTAGGTTTAGAATTTAATTTAAATGTTTGCTGTTATTTTTAAAATATAATAATGTAATTTAAAACCAACAGTAGATATTAAATTATAATGATAGTATTTTCAATACATTTTTATTACTTATTTAGCCATCCAAAAAAGTATAGAATATAAAAATTATAATACTTAATAAGTAAAATTGTAGAAATATAATTTTTTTTGAATCACCTAAGGGGGCCCAGTTAGTCGTGTTTTAAGGAAATTAATTTAGGCAATTTAACATGATGACATTAAATTTACTTGTTAGTGTGTGGAAAGTAAATGGATATTAGTATGTGCGAATTTAATCTGTGATCGTTTTTGGTCAATATTTCCTAGAAATGTGCTGAATTACATCAGTAGGCCCGCGTAATACTGTCCGGTAGGTTGGTCGTTATTTATATTCGCCTTTTAACTACGTACGCACAGGCATTGGCAAATTATATAAAATTAGATAAACTAATTACCAAGTTTAGGTCGAGGCGATTTTGAATATCTATTTTTTCAGTTATGATATCCATGAATAAAAATATGATATTTTTGTATTTATATTATTCATTATGACTCTGACAACAATTGGAATATTAAAAATGGCCTTGGTCGATCAAACCTAGTTAACTTGTTGATCAATCATAATCTGTTTTCAGTATTTAAAATCCGTCAAACCAAATTTCTTCAGTTTTGTTTGGCTTTTGGTCTAAAAGTCACTTTTTTAGTTATAACTAATTAACTGCTTTTTTTTTATTAATCATAAATTGTATAATACATACAATACAATATTATTCACACGATTATCCATCTCTTAAAGCTATAGCTTGTGCTGAGATATAGAGTAATATAAATTGATAAAAGATATGTGATGAATACAATAAAGAAAAATTTCAAGATTAAATTGTCAGAAATTTGAGTGGACAATTGTGTGTTTACAATTTTAGTTTATAAATACAATTTTAGTTTACACTATAAATAAATACGTTTATAGTATAGATATGTAAACAATGTTAAAATAAATTAAATTATGCTAGTTGAGAAAACAACCAGTGTTATATAATTTTTTGAGGATTTACTTTGGCACAGTAAACGTTTTTTTGCTATGAATATCATATTGAGTTGAAATAAACTATACAGAGCGGTTACTGGTGTAATCATTTTTTTTATTATACATGTTTTATGGTAGTTTTAATAATAAAAGTCTCGTGACATCGGAGCTAATTCATTTTGATGCGCGGGGCGGTGGAACAGAGTAGTATAGTTCATTAGAAATAAATTCAGTTGTGCTAAATATATTGCTTGCTTATATATTTATTCATACATTGTACAATATTATATTGTATAACTGTACATTTTTTAACCACAGAATATTTATTTTTAAGGAAACTTATTTGATGCCGTATCATTGGCAGCTAAAGCTGCTTTGTGTAGCACAAGTCTGCCAAATATTGTGGGGACATACGAGGATGGCCAAAATATCGATCTTCAGATATCTGATGATCCATTCGATACAAAACCACTAGACGCCAATGACTTACCTGTCTTGGTGTCCATGTGCAAAATTGGCAACAGTTATGTGGCTGACCCTACTATAGAGGAGGAAATATGTGGTGCAGGATGTATTGTTGTATCAGTCACGCCCAAAGGAAACGTAACGGCTGTATTAAAAAAAGGAGCCGGAAGCTTTATGCCGGATACGTTAAACGAAATCATTATGGTAATACCAATAGTTTATTTTAAACTTATTAAGCCAAAACTATAATGCATATATATTATATTATAATTATTTTTAGTCTGGTTCACACATTGGTATTCTGTTGAATAAAGCGCTCGATGAAACTCTTATTCAAGACATGTCCAGTAATGTTTGTAAGCAACAATATGGTTTCCTTAAATGAATAAAAATTAAAGTATATACTTTTTTTTTTTAATGTAAATAATATTTAATATAAACATTATACATTTATACATTTTATAATACTGATGACAATAAAAATTAAAAAAAGAAAATTAAAACTGTAATGCATGGTCAAGTATGTGTCACAAAAGACATGTTAAACTATGACTTATGTGACACATAAAATGACTATGCGTATGGACATAAATGTTATAAAAATGTCATGTCTTTAAAAATAAAATAAAAACATGAAATAAATATAAAGCTGGCAAAAAAATAAATGGTTTTCAGAGAAAATGTTCAACGTAAAACACTTAAAACCGTTAAAAAATCAATAATCGACAAGTAGATAATAAAATTAAGAAACCCGTATCATTATTCCCAAATGTCCTCTGCTTTTTCTTCTTTGGCACTAACAAACAACTTTTGGATGGTGAACGTCACATGCTCTGAAAAGTTATGGAAATATTAAAATGATGAATAAGTTTAGTCGAAAGTGGTTATAGTTGTCAAGACTTACTCAATGAATTTTGGAACCACACAGGTTTGGTTTTCCAAACTACACATAAATAGTACACTGGAATGCCTAACAGAGTGATGCCAACTCCCATGCCAACTTCAAAAGGTTTTACGTAACACGGCAACACAATCAAAAATAATGACAGTATTACATACGTAATTGGGATCCAAAGGGAAACCTAGTGTTGTTAACACAAATAATGTATAGTTTATATTGGAATGTGTGTGCCTTTTATAGCCATAATCATACCTTGATTGGCCTGTTAATGTTTGGACGTTTCCATCGGTTCCACAATACTGAGGACACCGATAGCATTGTGAAGAATGCCTCCACAATACTAGAATATGTTATAAGCATCTCAACATCACTTGTGAAAAGCATGAGTAAAGATAAGATGTTCTGCAACAGTAATAGTTTATAGTCAGTTTTCCACCAGTAATAGTAATCATGATGCTTATCTTACCAGAAACACTAGAGATGGGGTTGGTGTGAACCGTTCCACATTGATGTATGACAAAAACGTTGGGAAGTGACCGTATCTCGCTCCGACAAAGCACATTCTGGAAAACAATAAAATATACAATTTTAGTAAAAAATTAACATTATCAGCAAATCCTTAAATGTGTACCAAATTTTTATTTTTTTTAACTCATCAACTAGTTGAGACTTATAAGAGTTAAAATTTATATTTTCTTCAAATGAAGCATAACAATTTTTTTTTGTCAGAAAATAAATGTAGGTATTACTTATTAGTTAGGTTGGTGGTTACTGGTTAGTTATTGTTTGCTAGGTATTTATTGTTGTGTTGAAAATTAACTTGTTTAAAGTTATAGGCGGAAAACGCTTCCAAGTTTCGTTATCTCAACTTGTTAGTGTCTAATCATGTACAACACATAGTAATCATAACTTAAACTTACCTGGATGAAGTCATTATATGAACGCACAGACCACCAAATGCTGATAGGGCAACCATCAGTGGCATGATCCATTCGAACGAACCCATTGCAAAGTGACCAAATGTCTAAATAAAAAACTTTTTATTATTGTTGCTTTGCATTAAACTATAATTGCATACTGCATGGTAAATTGGTAAATGATTTGTAATAAAAAAATATTTTACACATAGGTGGATGAAGTATTAAAATACATTTTACCCTAAACACACACTGTTATGTTTGTGAATTTTTCAACCATCTATCATCTGCATTTTCTACTTCTCAATTTAAAACAGGCTAACTTTATGAAAATCTTGACACATAAATACAAACTATTTATAGCTATTTATTTGAATCATAAGTCATACATATTTTAAACAATATTTTAGGCTAGATCATTGAAATGTGTGGTCGGACTGTGGTGTGCTAGTGTATTACTCAGCTCTTTAATAAGTTAATAACATAAATTGTATGTAATTATGCTCAATACAACAATACAATTATACATTTAATGTCCAATATTATTGAATATTACCTATATTGTATGAAATTAAAACTATGTAGCTCTAAAGAATGGGGCTTTAATTAATTATTTTAACGAAACTGTATAAAACATGGCCTATCTTAAATTACGACAAAAAAACAAAAATTGACTGGAGTTTATGTCAGTAATTTTAATGAGCGTCTTGTACACTTGTGTTATTAAATTCACCATGCAGTAAGTTGTAGTTTATTGGAAAATACAATACCTATAGGCATATTTTCAATGAAAAATTAAATTATATCATTGTATATATCACTTACGACGGCAATCGCTTTGGTTGTCTCCATGTCGTGCGGCGTTAGAACGGCAAGGTACGCAACGTTGGCCAACACGTAGATGATGGTCACCAACGGCATGGAAATGTAAATGGCCCTCGGCAGGTTCCTGTGAAGTCAAAATCGACAGATCAATGTTATGTAAGGTAATACCTCGTCTGTAGCCCAGTCAGCTGTCACGGTAAATCACGCGTGCCGTAGACAAAAATAAGAGCACGATTGCGGGTCATGTCACACTCACACGTAAGGGTTTTTTAGTTCTTCGGTCATGAAATTCAAATAGTTCCTGAAAATTAAAAAAATAACGATTATCGGTGGGGGTCCATTAAGCTGGATTGGTGCAAGTGGTAGTATAGAAAAAAACCTCACCATCCCGAGTATGAGTATATTCCGGAATAAACGGACACGGCCAGTCTGCCGGGGTCTGTCACCGATCCTTGCCAAGGGTTCATGAACTTGGAAAATCCGTCTGTACATAAATCGGGGGACAAAGCATCGTTATAACATAATTATCGTTCATGTACATATTATAATATAACACAATCCGCAGTGGCATGCACATACGAGTGGTGGGGTACTGGGGTTAAAATGCCCCCCTTTTTTCACTTCATAAAAAAGTCAATATGCATTTATAAAGCACACTATAGGAGGTATATGTGTACATATTTTTAAACGACCCCTCCCCCCAATTTAAAACGTCTGTTCGTCACTGAACATATTGACATGGGCGCAGAGCAGTGGTGTTTCACGAGCTTAACCAGTGACGGAGGGGGTTGCTAATTTGTTGAAAATCATGATGCGGAGGGATGCGCCCTTCATTTCGTGAAAATTGAACTCGTTCAGTTCGTAGAAAATGTACCTACGTGTTCCATCCCATCACTTTTTTTTTTACCGTTTTTGGCTTAGGCACCTCTATTTGGAAAAAAAAAAATTTTTAATTACCTATCGAGTCTGCTTTTAATTATAGTCAATGGACAATGCGTGAAACCATAATAATGAGTACCCTTTACATCTCGTATAAATATAATATTGTGCAAGTCGAATAACTTATATTGGTAATTTCCATAATCCATTGTAAGCATTCAAGTATAATATTATCATCATTATAATTTTGAACCGTAGGACGCGATAGTGGATATAGTAGGCGGGCAGGTATATTACGGTGTACGAGACGCCTACTTATACATTATATACACAATAAACATTGTTTGGTCGCATACAACGCACTTCCACTTAAGGTGGTATAACTACTATACAGCTGCAGCACGTAAATGGCAACACCTGCACGTGTTATATTATATTTCCAGATAATTCAATAAATATTATGCTCGTGTATGCACTTATTTAATTGTTGCAGCGAGCGTCTACAGTTGTGTGTCGCAGTGTATTATTATCATAATCAGAATAACCCGACTCGAATGAGGTTGAGAGCCCTTTAAAACGTTTTTATGTTATTCGCTTTTAAACCAGGCGTGCGAAAACGTGTCTAAAATATTATAATTTAGACATTTATACAACCGTATTAAATTTCGGTTTGTGACGAAAAGACACGCACTCTTGCCACTCTTACGACAATTTTATCGGTTTAATATGATAATAGGATAGGTCTAACGCGAGGTTTATAGATAATATTATAGGTATACATAATGTCTATAAACCTTGGGTCAAACGAAGGAAAAATTCTTTAGCAGTGGCGGTTTTAGAGGATGGGCAGCAACAACATTTCCCTTACTTTATAAATGTAATTCTTTTACAAAAATTCGATGTTTTTACCTTTTGCTAAATTATTATGATGATTTATAATCATTATATTATTATTATCATTACATTGGACGGTGACAAACTGGTGGTTACAAGTTATCGATGTCGTGGTAATATCGCTTCTAGCAATTATTTAGCGTTGATAGGTACTCGAGATTGGTAGGAGCCACGATGTAGAGAAAATAAGGTGATACCACTCGTGCCATTTCGACGGAAGTTTGAAACTTTGATAGTACTACAGGAGAGCGGTATATAGGTAACGACATCATTCGCTGGGGGCCTGTTATACCTATTTTTTTGCATGTAAAACACGATGGAGAGAAGATTTTCTTTGAAAAATAATATAGGATTGTGAAGTTACAACTTAGACAAGACGTGTTGTGCCTAACGAATTCCCACTAACCGGTTTTTGATATCTTGTACCTAATTTTAAGACAAACACCGTATACACGCTATCACTGTTATATTATACTATTATGGATTTCCACACATGGTAAAATTTTCAAACTATTTTGAGCAATTTATATACATGATTTTTTAAATTTTGTAAATTATTTATCAGTTAGAAATTAATAAAAGTTTTTCTTTCCAGAGCCAACATTATAGATTTTAATAAGATTCCCCACAAGTTGTTTTACCTTAATAAAAAAAAAGTTTACCGGAAAGTAACGCTATGTAGGTATACATGTAACCATAAGAATTTTAATTTTTATTAATATTTTTTAATTATTAAATCTGATAATTTATACTAGGATGACAAAACATCTCCGCAAAGAATCATTTTTCGTAGGCAATGAGAATCATTTCTCAAACTGAATTTTTAAAATTCAGTTATTATTTAAATACAAATTTACAGTTAAAACATAAGACACCAACCCAGATTAGGTAATACCTATGTCTTTTTTAACTATAGTGAAAACAAATATAATTAAGTTATTTTCCGGCCACTAATGTACAAATCGGTAGCGGACGGTAATACCATCATATTCTGTCACCAAACCTGATTGGTGATTACCCAATTACTGATTAATTATTAATAATATTAATAATTATTAATAATATTAATAACTAATCAGTAATCCGGGCTCGTAAGTTCATGCATTTGAATATCAATCTTGCTAATTTGTATTCATTGCTAGATGACATAGAAATCCGTTTTGAGGTATCATGGTTTACTATGTAAAGTTCTATTTTTGCATATTTAGAGGTTTTTTGCCCATTTGGCATATTTATGCGTTTTCCTATTGTATTGGGAATATTATTCATGATTTCGAAATTCCTATTATGATATTATTATATATTAACGAGTATTTGTTTTAAAAAATACTATGAAAAAACCTGTATTTAATGAAAAATGCAATAATTTATATTTTTTTACTGTATAAAATGTATGGGAATCGTTGTAACCTAAAATGATTAAAAACAAAACTTTTAAAAATATGAATGGATATTTCATGCAAATTAAAAAACCGGCTTATGATTAGTTTTACATTTTTAGTGCATACCTATAAATGCATATTTCTGAACTTTTTAAGGCATATTTCGCCAGTCTTTAGTGCACAAGTGCATGCTTATTTAGAAGACATTTTTTAGGCCATAAACTTACGAGCCCTGCCGATAACTATTTATTCGATAAATGTATACTGACTTGAGTACATGTAAACGCCGCCGCACACGATGATCAACACCAGAGCTGATATCTTGGTGAACATGAACACGTTTTGAACTTTGGTGGTGGCCTTGACGTTCCAGCAGTTGATGAAAGTTATGAAACCTATAATATTTATACACATCGACGATGATATTAATGTATCGATACGATACACTTTAACTAGGCGTTTAACAACGGATATATATACTTACAAATCACGGCAGCCGCCAGGAGTCTGACCGCTTGCTCCGGGTTGTCGCATTCCGGGAAGAATGGCTTGATGACGTAGTTGGCGAACGTCAGTCCCATGATGGCGTTGGTTGTTGGCCTGTAGTATAATAGTGCAAGCAAATATATGTAAGACGACGTTAATGCTGGACGTTAGGGATAGCGTTATAACTATACCCAGACGGGTCTATATAGTGCGAGTAGACCTATAACGTTGGAAACTTTCGTAACCACTGCAATAAACCAGAACCCAATCAATACTTAGTAAATTATGCTTAATGGAAGTTAAGTGAAGTATAGAATGGGTGGACTAAATTCTACTTCAACCCACAGTATAAAAGCTTACTAGGCATATATAATATTATGAATTACGAGAATTTGATGTACCTACTAAAGGCGTTTTGAAATTTGATTTAGAAATAATAGCAAAAAGTCGATTATGTAAGTATTAGGTAGTTGTAATCTTTAATTTAAGATTTATGACGGATAACCATATAAGTATCATATAAATCATTTTAACTTATCGACTATTATTGCAAGTAATATGCAATAATACTATATATTCCTTATAGTTTCTATTTCTGTTTATTTTTATCAATGAGATGTGCTCAATTGCACATTTGCATAAAACAACAAATAATGAGAAGTAGTTTTTTGTTATATCGAAACACGATAAGGGGCAAGGGGTGTTAAATAAGATCTATATCAAATAGATCACTAGCAAAAAGTTAGATATATTGCGTTATATTGTAATGGTAATTATTTCAAGAGGATTTTAAACGAGTTCGAAATCACGAACAATTATTCGAGATATCGATGTTCGACACAACTGCAGCAGTGCAGCATATTCGAATCTACTAGCCGTAAGCAATGTATGCATACCAAGCACCGAAGTGGCAAAGTACCTAACAATATGATATTGTACATCTACACATCGTATATAATATAAATTAAACATACGTACACAAACACGAGCATAGCGTCCCACAAGTAGAGGAACGCCGGCAGAGGTCCGAATCCTTCGAACAGGTACGTGTAGTCGCCTCCCGACCGCGGTATGGACGTGCCCAGTTCAGCGTAACACAGTGCACCGATCATGGACAGCATGCCGCACATGATCCACACGGTCAAGCTGACACCCACCGATCCAGCATGTATCATCACGCCCGTCGGTGAGATGAATATACCTACATGTCAATACACAGACAAATGTAAAAAATGTCCACGGCACTATTGGGTCAAACATCATAATATTTTGTAAAATATTTTTAATTTTTGTCGGATTTTTCAACTGTATTATTGCGAACTTTTTTCATATAACTGACTGACTAATAAATAATAATATTATATATTACTAGGTGAATTACCCGGCGTGGCCAGGAAAAAAAAATTGTGATTGTTAAACTCTTTTTGGGTGTACCACGCGTCCACGCTGCAGTGGGAGCAATTTCTTTTTGTAAGTGTAAATTATATTTTAATGTATATGGCCATCCCAACAGACGTTGTCCGTGAGATTCGCTCGTGATTATTCGAGCAGTAATATATTATCAGGTAGGCAATCTACCCGCGGTAGTGGTTTGTACGTAAGTCTATAATAATTCAACTCTGAAGTATCAAAGTTATACCAAGTTTGTCGATTTTACTAAATTCAACCTAAGACGAATTAATACAAAATCCTAACCTATATAACCGGACTAAAATCCGACGAATAAAAATAAACCAAATATTCGTATTTGTAAACAAAGAAGAAAAAAACAATGCAAACAATTGGCCCGCCGAAACCGAGGTTCGAACTTGAGACATTCTGTACTAAAATTTAAAATACATGTGCCACTGGCGCCAACAGGCGTACCGGTTTAATAATAATAATAATTGTTAAAACCTGCAATAGCAACCATTTACAAACAAACATTTCTATCGTAAATCTCAAAATCGGGTCGAGTACCAAAATTTGAAATTCTGCAGTAAGTAGTTTTAAGAAAATTCGAGTGCAACTAATATTATTATATTATTGTATCGTATCTACAAAAAAAATGTCATGCTGATCGGGAAATTTTGATGCCTATAAATTTGTTAAATAAATCAGAACATGAAGTAGGTACTAGTATACTGTGTGTCTGTGTACTACTATTTGGTATTCAATAAAATTTTTATAATATCTCCGTTTTAATAAAGTGTCAACTGAACTAGGTAACCCAATCCCCACTTATTTCATTATATTTTCAATATGATTTTTGTTATCTTTATACAATAATTTAAATCAGGTGTGTATTTTGAAAACTTTAATGAAGCATAGAGCATTACATAATACATATAGTCTCATCCGTTTCATTTAAATCTGAAAGCTTTTTCATCGTGGAAAATACATTTTTACAACGGCATGTTTGATTGCTGACGATAATATTATTTGAGCCATATAATACATAAAAATGTAAAAATAAAACGCCGACAAAGTCAATATTCGCGTTGGTGGGTTAGGCCACTTCTGCTCGCATAGCCTCAATTATATCAAAGTAAAAAATATGTCTGAAGGTGAGTTCCAAAGTTTAAAAATCGTATTTAGGTCATTGTGCGATTTTAGGTGGCACAACTGATTATACGAATTGTTCCAAATATTTCTATTTTGCTGACTCGTTGTTTAAGTCTAACTACTTCGAATCATCATATGATGTTATACAGGAAAAATGATTTGGTTTCCTTGGGAAAATTAAATACCTACTTATTATGCGTTTACAAAGAGAAAACAAGGCGAGTAAGTGGATGTCACTCTGCTGTATAGTAATTAGTAGGTTACAAATTGATCACTGTATAATGGATGGTACCTATTAAATTTGAATTCAATAATATATAATTGGTTACGAAAAATGATTTTGAGCGGAGAGGGTTTGCCAGTCTAGGATATTTTATATTATATTTATATTAGTAATACTTATAATTAATACAGTACCCGGTAAGTTTTAAAATTATAAAATTATAAAATTACAAAAAAACAACTAAAATCGTTATTCTGGGTTATTTAATATGTAATTTCGTACAACTTGAAAAAAGTATAAAAAACTGATCTTTGGTTATAGAATTAACTACTTATGTGCAACCTTGCTTTAAATTTTCAATCCTTAGCTATAAAAATTGAACATTTTATAAGTACATTTTTTGTAACGAAATAATTTGTATATTTTCAATTTGATAAATTATGTCAAAATTTGAACTATATGACTATATTATATTTTTAATATTTTTTAACTGTCTTTGTAATAAAATATTATAGGAGCCTTGTATTACATTTTCAAGTTTTTTGACCGAACGAATAATACCAAATTGACATTTATATAAAAAAAAACTAGAAAAATTGGAAACTTAATATATCCGTAAACCACTCAAAACAAGTCAAAATATTTTGTGATAATTCATAATTGCATGTAGGTATCTACGATAATTTGTTTTTAAAGTTACACCAAAAACCAAAATCGATTTTGTCAAAAACCGACTTTGCGTAAAAATTCCCGTTTTTCTTTAATTTGTATTTTGTTTTCTCTACGCTTTTGAAAACTATTGCTAAGTAATATTACATTTTGACCTCCCAAATACATCAATTAGATTTCACTTCAACCTCCATCGAACAAGATGCTGTTGAAGAAAATCGAAGCAGTGTTACTGCTCCAAACGGTAAAGACACACACAAAAATGTAAAAAAAAATGTAAAATCAATACGTTCATTGCTCCACTCAGAATCTAAAAAACACACAACATTGTAAAACCAATACATTTATCTCTCCGCTCAGAATCTAAAAATAGAAAATATTTTCGAGCATTTTCTGATTTTACGGGGAAACTGATTAGGTAGCAGGGAATTTGCCCTCTAAACTGTTTATAAATGAATGGATTCAAAAGTCACAATTTACGAGAGAACATTTATAATTACTTCTTCTTTGTTCAGTAATAAGTTGATTTAATTCTAACAACTAACTATAATTTATAATGTAGGTACAATAGGTGCAATTAATTTAGTATGTCAGTGAAATCTCCAAAGGTCAAGTGTATTAACAATTTAATTCGATATACTATAAACGTATAGGTATCACATATTATTCATATACATAATTGCACACGTTTGATAAGACATTGTTTCTATCATTTTTGGTATGACGTGAATACGTGATAATATACCACGTTCTATTGACTATTATAGTGTGTAACATTAGAACACGTATAGGCATTATAAGCATATAGTACATGTTTTTTTATAGTAATTATAAAATGAATAGACATATTACAATATCATAGTGCGTATAATAATGTTATTACGTAAAATAATTGTAAAATACTGTTCAAGTTAAAGAATTTGATAGAATGCGGTTTCCCTAGTAAACTTCACTGTATAGACGTTTTTAAACATAGCTATAGTAGATTAGCCGAGAATCAAGAATATAAATAATATTGCAAATTAGTATTGCTAATTACATCCATTAAAATAGCATGTTTTATCTCAGTCTTACAAATGCATAACATATAGAAAAAACTGTTTTGCGAGGAATAACTATACTCCCTCTGTATTTATAGTAGATTTACCAAAATTCCACAATACATAAGGAAGAACTTTATCTGTGTCGCAGTGTTTTCATTTTTTTTTTTTTTTTTTTGATAGCACTGACCAATCATTTTTAATAATTAAATGAAAAAAAACAAAACAAAAAAACCTTCTCAAACTAAACTGATAACTTTAAAGTATTTATGTTATCCAAATAATAAAAACACTACGGTCTACGGCACAGATAAAGTTCTTCCCAAACAAAGTGGAATTTTGGTCATTCTACTATCAAATATAGAGGGCGTAAAATTGTCCAGCGCAAAACAGTTTTTGTACAAATGCATTCATAAGACGGAGACAACACACGCGGGTGTGACTTCGTCTTAAGAAAGCTTAAAATATTAAATTTAGTTTTTATTAAATCATTGTGATAAATGATAATATTATTTAAATTTGGGTATTATTAACTAATATATTATATTATAATAAATATAAAAATAATAACATAATCTGTGTTTTATTCGAAACTTTTTTAATATTATTATTTTTAAGAAAGTGACTAAATAACTAAAAATTAAAAAATTAAAAATTCTAATAACTCTCTTTATAATTATTATTATAACAGGAAATGATAGCTAAATTTCAATAATGTTATCTCAATGATAGTGAAATACGGAGAGAAGTTTTTACTATATTCTACGAGTAAGATAGAACAAAAAAACTTTTCTAATATTTTAATTTTAGGCAAGATTGTGAATTTTTATTTTAAAGAAAATTTCTATTGTTTTCTAAGCCTATATATAGGTAATAAGTATTTAGGTACTTGACTTGAAATATTCTCTACGTGTGATTTATATGAATACTATGAATCAAATAATTGATGTTAACTGTTATAGATTCTGAGCTAAGCGATGATTGGTTTAACAATTATGTGTTTTTTTTTGTGTGTGTGTAATATACGACTATGTAGAGGTACACTATAAGTAGTCGAAGTAATTAGCATTATCTTTAATTTTAAGTTTTGAGGGTGGTTTCTGATAGAATATTGGATCTAATTCGTACTTTTGAGAGATCATAATAGAAATAATATTTAAACAAAACCAATTTTTGACAAAAATAAATTGATTTACTGTTGTATTTAGACCTATAACTCAAAAATGAGTTTGAGTACTATATCTTTACTTGCATATTAAAATGAATACAAAAAGTTTGTAAAATACTTAAATAATTGATATATGTATTAACAGAGATCATGAAATATGTATTTTATAAGAGTAAATATAATTGAAGACAGGACATATATATAATTAAATACAATTTAAATTCATCAATAATCACAGCACTAAATGTATGCTTGAAAATGTGTTTGTAAAAAAAAAAGGTATTCATTTCCAATAATAATTTTATAAGTGGTTCGGGGAGACCATTTTTTAGCATTTTTTTTATATATGTATAAATTATACTCGAGGTATTTCTTCTTATTGAATAATTAATGTCGATTACACTTCAAGGCTAAACATAATATCTAATGATACAAATATCTCATTGTTATAGATAATATTTAGGAAATAGAAATAATATAAGTTCACAGCCGAGCTAGAAAACTAAAATATAGGTAATCGAAATAAGGAGAGCCAGTCGGTTAGTACTACTGGTATTTTGTCAACTATTTTATTATACGAATTTTTTTTAAGAAAACTTCAAATTCCAAAGAGATAATATAATAAGTCTGTAGTAGATTGGGGTTTGGACCCCTGGATGTTGGAGATTCAATAATTAAAAAATTAATCGAATAAGATGTTTAAATTATTAAAAAAAATATTAGGTACTAATATATCTATTGGTCGCGGCTGTGTGTATATTATAATGTGTATTGTTATAGTTTTTATTCTATAGTAAAAATAATATAAACAGCGAAATAATGGTACGTAATGATATATAAAATATGATCTTATTTTTTAAACCAACATTTTTAGACATGATAGATTGTTGGTATCATATTATAGCCAATATAGGTACTCAATCAAACAATCAACATTAATTATTTTAAATTAATCGATTTCTAATAGATATTATAGATAACAGTTTTTATTCATGCATTATGTCGCAGTTGCAGTTATTTGAATAACATATTTTTAAAACCCTCTTCGCATTTTATATGCACGCCTTTCACAAATCATAACACAGGGACTAAACTATCCTTTGAGGTAAAATTACAATAGTTTATTTCAAAATATATTGAAGGAACGATTTTAAATTATATAAACGTCATTATACAATATAATAGCTTTATCCTTTTTAAAAAAAAAAAAATGCTTTCTTAAGTTATGTGACAGTCAATGGATATAATAAAAATAATTATATAGTTGTTTTACGGATAATATTTTAAACTTTTTAATTTTAACTCATTAATAATAGATAGAATGAAAATAAGTACACTCCTTTAATCAAACTTAAATCATAATTGAAAGGATGCATGGAGCGCGAATAATAACACTTAAAATAAATTATATTATAATCATGGCTGTATCGGTATAGTTGCCGATGATTAAGATCAATAAAAATATATATATATATTATATATTTATTATTTATATAAATAAAAGCTTGAATTATTTTAACGATGTAAAAATATGTGCATTATGCAGCAAAAACTTCCAAGGGGTTATAATAAGTTACTATAGTATACTTATTATTATATTTTTATAAGATTTCTATAGATGTTTTTTGTTGTGCATATTATTTTTAAATTTGAACAATTTTTCTGTAAAAGTGTACCTATGAATTTTTGCTAATAATAAGGTACATACAATATTTTGCCTTATTTCTAAAAATCGATTGTAAAAATAATCGAATATGTAATTCTGGAAGTTCAGTAAAATTAATGCATTAAAAAGATATACAGACATACAGAATTTTTTAAGAATTGATAAGGAAGATAAATTAAATCTGTGAATTATTATCGGAAACAATTTAAAGAAATGATTTTAAGTTTATATAAATTATCAACATACAATTTTTATTTTTATGTCTCAGATGACGTCTCATACACTTGAACCATATTCAATTATTTTTATTTCTTTAATAAATAGTTTAATGAATTTAGTTATACTGTCATTTTCATAAAAAAAACATTTAATTGTTCTCATGGACAATGTATTTACGAACCAGATCCAAATATGATGCCCAAAATGATTGCAACGCCTTCGAGGAGTCCAAGTTGTTTTTTGAGCCTGACTCTATCTCCAGTTTCTTCTGGAATTGAGTCAGTAATTTTGGCATTTTCTGGTGTTGCTGTATTCATTTTCTAAAGGAAAAATAAAAATAAAATATTAATAATAATTTTAAATACATATAAAAATATAGGTATTCCATATAGTTTACTAAACAAAAGAAGAAGTTTATGCAAGTGTTCAAATGGTTATGAGGCGTGCAAATTTAAATTACACATTTAGAGCCATTCAATAATTACATAATAGAATGGGAGCCAATTAAAATATACTATTGTCTATGTTTTATCCATTAATTCAAATTACCTAACTTAATTTTCATTAGCTGTATTAGTGTAATACGCTTCCACTAAAACAGTTTACGGGTTAACAGTTTAAGTACTACGTTTACATGTACAGTTGTCAAACAGATTTACCTAAAGTTCCTACAAAAAAGTTTCTTACAGTACCGCAATCCCGGTTGGGTTGTAATAGTGTTTTTCGTTTACATGAATTTTGTTCTAGTATTTTTACTCACATTTCGAATGTGAATTAACTAAACCGTTTTAGGTACCTAAACCGGATTTTAATTAAACCTAATTCGCAGCCACTGGCCATCGGACTACCGAAGCATGGCAGGTGTAAGTTAATAAGTAAATACATTACACATGCGTAGAATAATGACGTAACTATAGTTTATGAATCCCAAAGATAGAAAATAAAACAAGAAATAATTTAAGTTATTTTGACTAGTAAAATTCAATACGATTAAATTGTCTGAAATCTTAATACTGAATATTGGTCATTTGTGATCACTGAAATGAACAGAAAATAAACAACAATGCGTAGTATCAAAATACGGATGGCTTCTATAAAATCACGATATAAATAATAATAGTTAATAACTTAATGCACTAACACTAATAAGTATCATATTCTCCTACAGTGGCGTATATACGAATTATTTTCACTATGGGCTAATTTATCAGTTATCACTAGTCAAGAATAGCACAACTAACATAGCCATAACTATACATTTTTTAGGGAGCTGGGTGGTTATAATTATGACATATTATACAGTGCAAATAAAAATTACGCAATTTAATTATTATGTAAAATTAATTTTTTGATTCTTTTTTAAAAAATATTAATAGTGTCATTTATATATTTTAATTTTTAATGTTATCCTACTATGAATTTAACATCAAAGTCAATTATAAGTTATCAAAGCAAGTCCTGACCATCTAACATTTCCTTGTTGATTCCTCAAAAACGATTTTAATCAACCGGCTAACTTAATCATGGTGAAAAACTGTAAACAGTGTAGATATACATGCAATGCTTTAATTAAACCTGCAATTTCACTATGGGCTCTAACCTAGGGGGCCTCCCCCTATATACGCCACTGTTCTCCTATAATGATTAATGATTAATTTAAATAATATGGTACTTCATATTACATTATAATAATGTGTACATAATTTTACATAAATTACAATCTATATCGAGTAATTAGTTAAAATTAATATATATAATAGATTATAGATATACGCCTATATTATAGCCATAATCACTTATATAGTTATATATGTTTACTTCAAAGTACAAATGTATAGTAACTTAACTCGATACTGTTTATAACTTGCGCAAACTTTTTTTAAAATAAGCTATCCGGCTAAAGTTCAAATTTATTAATATTGAATAACTATTAATACATACATCGCTTTATTAGATAATATTACAGAAATATTAAATTGCATAATATATTAACTATACATTTTGATTATCATAAGTGTATAATCCGTGTATTTATTTAAAACTATAATCACTATTCACTAGGTAAGATTAAATTAGTGATTTACGATTGAATGAACTTAACCGGACTTCGGGAGTTTTGGAACGAAAATCGAATTATATTTTTAACCATGCGCTTTTTAAAAGTACAAAATTATTCCAGTTCAAATACGTTTCTTAAAAAAAGTATTGTTGCATACCTATTATAGTCATACCCGCATGTGTTGTCTCCGTCTTACAAACGCGTAACATACCAAATTTAACCTCAGAAATTCAAGTTTTATGCCGTCGGCTTAAAAACTAGAGTGAATCAACCTATTACGAAACTTAATGGTAAGAACATTATCTGTGTTTCGTTGAAAGCTTTTTACGATAATTCAGTTTTTAAGTGAGTTATGAGGAATTTTAATTTACATTTATTATACACGCTATAAATCACTTAAAAACTGAATTATCGTAAAAAAACTTCAAAAAACTTCAAAAAAAAAAAAACAGATAATATTCTTACGATCAAGTTTCATAATAGGTAGATTCACTTTGACGGCATAAAACTTGAATTTCTGAGCCTAAATTTGGTGTGTTACGCGTTTGTAAGACGGAGACAACACATGCGGATCCGCGTAGTATTATTCTATAATTAGGTGTCAAATACTCAAGTAAGTATATATTATTTTGAACTTTATTAATTATTTTTTATAATATAAGATTGATAGGGTAGTACCGCTACCAAAACTTGCTTTAAAATTATTATCATATAATTATAATAGGTATACCTACCTAACATAGTTTTCTGACAAATGGCAGAGTGAAATGGATAATTCTGAACATAAAATTTTTATATGTTATGCTTAACCCAACCTAACCTAACAGGATAAAACACATTCATGTTCATGTATGACGTTCTCTGAAAGAAATTTAAGAAGGAAAATAAATATTTTATTCTTAAAAATAAAATGTCAAAATAAATGCTATTAAATAACTAGCAAATACTGAAATACTATTTTATTAATAAATGGTGTACCTATAAGATAATCATACAGTATAAAAGTAATAGTTATATAGTTATAAGTTAACGATTAACAATTATTCAGAGAAACGTATTTACCTACCTTTATTTATTTAGATAGGTACCTTATATTGTATTAGGTATGATATTATTAAAATTTAATTTATTTTTTACAAAACATTTTGTTTTAAATATATGCAATACTATAAATTGAATCTAAGTTTTCATTCTGTTCAGAATAACAACTAAACAACTATGTAGTATTAAAAAAAAATTGTCACTTCCTTAACTACTTTTCCAAAGTAATCAAGTAATACTTACAATAGTTATTTCCTTCATTTTGTAGTTTCAATAATAGTAACAATGTATTTGTCTATAATAGTGGTTTGAAAAAAAATTAACCAAATTCAATCGAATTTTCAACAAACTCGCAGTTTACGGGTAAACACCACAATGGTATCGAAAAAACTGAAATCAAATATTGGCAATTGGCATGTTAGCTCATAAAATATACTATATATCTAACAGTAGATAAAGAGAACAATTTAATGACCTACGGATGTATACAGAGTGGAGACATTTGAAATTGTCTGGCATTTGAATTTATTAAATATTATAATTTATAATAATATGATATATTACATTTAGACGGCTAGACGGAAACAAAAAATTAATACTTTATGTTATGATTATTTATACAATTTATTGTTATTATATACTCCGTTCGTCGAATGAATAAGAATTTTACCTCGCCGCAACCACCTGCTGCTATGAACGATGGTTATACAGACATATATTTTTATTGTAGTACTTACGGAGTGTAATATTAATAATATTATGTTTCGGATTATGACGATTATGTAGTTGTAGTACCTATTTGAAGTCTGAAAACGCTCTTACAGGCTACAGGTGTGATTTGGTTAAGGAAATTGGTTCAGTGTAGCATTTATTTTATAATTTTTATATGGTTATAATGTTTGGCAATTGTCAATAGTCTTGTATACTTGCGGGGCTCTTGCCTCTTGATTCAACAGGTGGTTACTGCGATTATGCGTGGGTTAGGCGAGGTTAAGGACAGCACCAGCACCACATACAACGTTTGAACCGATCGCGATGTGCCCATTTATTCCCGCCATTAATTTATACGAGAAAATCTATGTATATTGTACTGCTTAATGACGTATAATGTATATTGCACACGGCCTCAGTCGTCGAGGGATCGGTTGCTAAAGCATGGCCGGTTTCGGTTGCTTTTTAGTTTTTATTGTACGCGTTTCTCGAGCAATACATTAAATCGATTGCCATTATTGTTGTCTGGGTGGATCGGTCTCAACGGAGAATAAACTTGTTTTTTTGTTTACGACTAACTGAATTTTATTATTGGACTAATGGACTGGTCGAACCTCGGAATCACCAGTGTCACGCTGTACGAATGACGATGCTCTCTTACGTTGACTTTTGTTTGGTATACGCAATAAGATACGGCGAACCAAATTATACTCAATCGTGGGATTTTCGCAGAATTCGACAAATCGCTGATGCTGTTCACCTCGAATTATACTGTATAAAATACATTAATACCTAAAATTATTATTGGCGATAAAATTGTTAATTAGTTATCGTAATGTAATTACGACTAGGTGTTATTATCATTGCATTTTGCACTGACGAACTTCGTTTTTATTAGTGACCCCCCCCCCTTCCACTATTGCATATTATCAAGAGCACCATCGAGATTTGTTTAATAAAAATGTAAATAATTTTTAATTATAAATTATAATGGTAATAAGAAGCGCTAGGTACGGTTTATTGAACTTTGCGTTGTATATTTGACGAAATCTATATTAAAAATATGTTATATTATCCAAGTTTTCCCCATAGAGCTTAATTTTAAAATCCCTAGCTTCCACTCCCGAGCAACTTACCCTTTTTTCATTTCTCTTTGCTACACAAATTACATTCGTAATAGACCGAGGTTCGTTCAGAATGATGCGTATTGACATGTTCCTAATGAGGACCCGTCGTTTTATTTTACGTAATTGTAACAATGCCCTTATGTTAATATGTATTTTCTTATTATTATTATGTACTTATTTTTCTGCACTTTGGACCAAGGCCCGTATTTTAATAAAATAATAAATAATAAAGACCACTGACAAAATATTCGTAAAATATTTAATTTTTAATTTTTTAATGTGATAGGTATTTAATTTACTAAGAAGTTTTTATTATAAACGTACATTTGTGAGTTGTGACCGAGAAGAAAAGCATAATAATATTAATCATCATAAAGTA